ACAAAACGAAAACTGCAAAAGTGAGATTTCTTTCTCAAGAAAAAAAGAAAAAACAAGAAAAGTAAAAACTAATTTAAAATGACCTTATAGTCTGCACAATAGACAATCCGCATTACATGTGCGCCTGTGGGCGTGTTCGTCGGCCACACATACTTAACTTAATTTCGGAAATGCGAGGGTAGTTCGAAAAGGCTGGAATAAATGCTTTGATGGTTATAAATTGTAAGGAATTAATTTTGAATTGTAAGGAATTAATTTAGCTATATATGTATATTATTTCGAATTATCATTAGTAAAGTTATTTTAAATGTGTATAAATAAATTTTTTTATATATTATATATTATATTTAGAATATATTTATTACTCAGAATTATCATAAGGTAAGTTATTTGAAATGCACATAAAAAAATTATTTTTTAAAAATATATAAGCAAACAAACATTCCAAAGTTAAGTTTTTCTAATGAATATTATAAGAAATTTCAATTTTTATCACTATTTTCAATGTTCAAGCTTGAATCATTTTTAAAAATATTTGTGGCAATTTATTTGCGAAACCCCATAAACTTCCCCTAGCCTTATTTTCGTTGCCTACTTTTGGGCCGCATTTCCAACGCTGCAGTTGTTTTCATTCATAGTTTAGACAGGAAACTTACCCTCTCGCGCTCTCCCTCTCTGTCTCACACACACCTCATTCTGCTATTCCCAAAATACGTTGATCTTAGCTTTAGCTCTTCTCTTTCTGCTGACCTCCACGGCCAGCCTTGGCGGGTCCAAGCCCACATTTAATGCTGCTTTGCCATTGCTATAATTTTTCCGTTTTTCGCCATGCTAACGCTTTTGGCCCGCTGTGCTTGACTTTGGCCTGCCTTGCTTTGCTTTGCTGGCTTTATACTTCCATATACTTTTTGCTATTTTAGTTTTCTAACCAACAAAACAAATTGAATCACGTTCGCCTGGGAGAGAAACGTGAGTATTTTATTTTTTCCCGTTAAACATTTTCATTTTTCTTACCGCATGGCGTGGAGTGGGAGAACCAACTGCAAGTTGTTTTGTCTGATAATGATGCCATGGGGTCAGCTATGTTGTTGTTGCTGTGCCTGCTCCCAGTGGCTGTTGAGTGTTAGCCACTGGACCATAGCCAACACCATCATTCGCCTCATATCATATAGATATCAGACTTGTCTGTGTGTGTGTGTGTGTGCGTGTTTGTACTTTTGTTTATTAAAAAGAGATTGGCGTGCGCAACAGAAGGAAAGCAAATAAAGATTTTGTCATGCCCAAACAGAGTTCGTTCAAATGTACCATTCATCATCATTTCTGGCCTGATGATTTTATTTTGATTTCGGTTTTGCAAAACGTTTGGGGATTACCAGCCTAATGATTTTATTATAGTTTTGATACCCCACAGCTATCAACAATTGATTGATGGTCGTCTGCCTCGCAGTGCCGGGTTCATTGTCTCATTCACTTCATTCATTTTGCCTCCTTTGTAGTCGAAGCCTCATTTAAGTGCTGCATTATTATATTAAAAACATATTAATGCCATTCCAGCTTCTTATATATATATATATATACATATATATATATATATATATATGGAAATTCTTATAAAAATATGTAATAAACTGAACCTAGTTGGGCCATAGACCAAAAGCCGAAACGTCAAACAAGGGCCAAACAATTTGAGACCAGAAATCAGCACAGCCTGCACAAAGTTTTGTTCGTCCGACACTTTGCCATTGTCTCGACTGGGTCCAACATAAAACAGCACTGTGTACTTTGCAGACTGTTGAATACGCTGCAGTTGACATTTTTTAATATAAAAAAATTAAATATGATTGAATTATTTTATAACTAATAAATAGAATATGAACAAAATGTAAGTTTTAATAATACATATATGCTAATATACGAAGTCTAAACCTGAGATAAATTAAGGTAAATGCTATAAAAAATGAATACATTACGTATATGCACACATAATATACAGATTTCATTGTCTCCATGCTTACAATTCTACGGAATTTTTGCTGCTTGGGGCAATTCAAAACCCAAAACGATAATTTTGCAAGCCATGTAAACAAAAACTTTATAAAATTAACAATGCATAAGTTAAAGAAAATTTGCATAAACAAAAAATATATATCAAGAGGAAGCAGAAATCTACATATATTAAAAAACAGAATCGGATACTCAACAAAATTGAATTTATCCAAAATGCATTTCGTTTAAACAGTTTGGCAGTATATTTATATCATATATTTTACAATTTACAATGTAAATTTCTTGTAAACCAATTTTATTAGGAATATTTGTTCTTTTATTTATTATTTTATTTAAAAAAAGTTTGCTTTAGATGTTTTCAAATCTCAAATATAAAATATATTTAAGTATTTGTGTTCAAATGCCTTTAATATTAATATGCCAACTTCTGTGTAAAGTAGGGTAGCTAACATAAACTAAACCAAGGCCCGCAGCATGGTGCCACTTTGACTGACTGCCACGCCCCTAGCGCCCTGTAACTATCTGCCTCTCTCTCTCGCTCTCTCTGATTTTGTCGTAATTACGCGTAACTTTCGACAAGTGTCGCCAGAGAAATCGCCAACGTCCCGCCAGCTATAGTGGGTGCCCTACGTGTCCCTGGTGTGGCTGCAAAGTTTTTGGGTCTATGGCGTCTTTTGATGTTGCCCAAGGAGGCGCCACAGTGAATGGCCCACATGGCGACCGAGGCAGCTGTGGTTTAATCTTCTTTTAAATTGTGTACAGCCTCCGCCCTCATGCACGCCTTTTACACAAGAATATGGACCAAAACTTTGCCGGCACTTGCGCTTGATAAGTTAGAACAAAAGCGGGCAGCAGTGGCAAAATAGTTGAGAATTCTTTGTGGGGGAAAAGTCATTGTTACACTTTTGTGGCACTGGTGCTGCTACTGCCGCTGCTGCTGTTATTTTTCACTCTAATTAGCCGTCATTGGTTTGTGATTTGTGTGGGCGTTCGCAAAAACACCTGACGAAAGCTTTAGTTTGGTCAGCAGAATTCCGAGCTAAATTTAGAGGAGATTTTTGATTTAGTTGTTCAGCCACATAAATCTAAAAGGCCACTTGACCAATTTTCCAGTTTACGCCACATATAAATTACAGCAAATGTGGCTTGGCCACAATTTATACTGAGCTAAGACCGCATTAACCATGCAGTCGGAAGCCGAGACCAGAGTAAAGTATATTTAATTAAATTAAATACACACAAATGCAGTGCAGTGTAGATAGAGACTTTGCTTTTATGGCCAGCCTTAAAAGCGTTAAAGTAAATCATTGAGGATACAAAACAGCAGCCAGGCTAATGGCCAATGGACAATGCCTAATGCTCATTGCTCATTGCTCATTGCTCATTCTACAAGCCGATCACGCCTGCCATTTGTGGGACCACATTAAAATGGACTAAAATGCCCGGTGACCTCTGCCTTTATGGCCACTTAATGTAAAACAGTTAATTAGTAGCACACACATACACATTCCTTGTCGTTGGCTATGCAAAATGGCGGCCATTTTTACTGTCGCTGACATTTTCGCCATCTTGGCTGGCAGGTGGCATCCGTTGGGAACATGCCCGGCAAATTGCTTTTGATTAATGAAGCGGGCAAAAATTGTAAAAGTAAAAATTAAATGAAGTCAATCAACGGTCAAAGTTGTGCGCTCAAAGTAAACAGGAAATTACCCTTACAAAGTAAAAGCTAAAAAAAGTTGATAGACCTTTGAAAATAATACTTGTTTTATGAATCTGTATATGCATACATACATCACAAATATTTAATAACTATTGAACAAGCCTCCGGAATTACAATAGTTTCAAAAGATGCATTTTAATATATGCTAATTAAATTTTAATGCAACAATTCTGTCAATTGCAATAACATATTCCTCACGCTCTTTCTCTCACTCACTGATAATAGCCGATTTCAAGCTACTCAGTGGCAGTAACTGAAATTACGGGATGTCAAAAATTAACATGCTTTTGTCCATACAATATAATGGCTGACATGCCCGGACATTGTTGTTGCTGATGCTGTAGTTGTTGTTATTACTGTTGCTGTTGCACTTTATTTTTAATGCTGTCGGCGAGGGCATTAGAGGGGGTCAGCTAGAGTGAGAGAGCTACTCAACTGTCTGGCAAGGCCTCAAGCCATGCAATTTCTTTTGGCATTCTACTTTTGTCGCCTTGTCCTTGTAATTATGAACTTAAAAAGCAGCCAGAAGCGTGTCATCAGTGGAAGCAGCGCCAACGGTGATGCCATACTGTGTTAATATTTAATGGATGTCATTTCAGCGATGCTGTCTGATTTTTAATTGAGCAAAATGTACAAGGATGCAGTTGCATTTTTAATATTTAACGTACTGTATTTGCTTTGCTGTAACACATTTCAAGTGTATGAGCATTGGGGGTAAAAATAACGCTTGATTATATTTAAATAAATGAGCATCTGTTCCAGCCTTACCCTTATTGTCACTCATTAACGGCCGCACAGATTCTTTGCGCTACTTTCACTTAATTCATTAGCTGTGGTCGCGTAGATAAAGCTGAGGAGAAGTCCATAACCTTGGCCGTGGCAGCTATTTAAGTTTATATAATGTAATAAACATTTACAGTGAATTCATTTGCATATCCAAAGAGCTTGCTTCTTCTCAGTGCCTCTTTTGGTAACTGAGAGCATAATTAAATGTAATCCAATTAAATGACTGCGAAGGAGAGTTAACTTGCGGCAAGGCGTGTAGTTCACTGTTTGAGTAAAAATGAAAAAAGTCTCTTTTAATATGTATGTATCTCATCTTCATTTTACCTGACCTTTATGTCTTCCTTATTATACAAAATAAGCATAATAAAACAAAATTTAAGCGCAAAATGCGTCAAGATAAAAATAAATGTTTTCGATCACTTAAAATGTGCGCGCCAAACGACTGCCGATGTTATCGCAGTGCTGCCACTGTAAGACACAAGCAGATGGCACCACTTGCAAATAACGTGGCAACCTTCCGCTTGTGTAATAAAAACATTTGGTTGAATAAATTATTGTTAAAAATTTTAATTAATGTAATTTTTGACCAAAAATACCTACACACAAGCTGTGTTTGTACTTTCCACCATTCTCTTAGGTTGCCCTTTGAAAACAAATGGTATGAATTAAAATTGGAAGTGTCAATCGGTTGCCCCGTTCAAGGCCGTACAAATATAAACTCGATTTTGTTCTTTATTTTTGCAGTGCATTCATATATATCATAATCCCGTTCAATTTGTTGAATTAATAGCTGACAACCCAGCAAGATGCTGCCCGCCATTGTGTTCCGTCAAGTGCACCGTCCGCTCAGCGCCGGTGGCTTGCATCATGGAGCCGCAACAACATTGAAGCATGTGCTCGGCGTTGGAGGCAGCAGTTTTGTGAACTGTCTAAACCGCTATGCCGCTGCTACAGGTTTCATACGCATATCTTTTTTAGATATCAATCAGCATCGCAATTGGGATGTGGCTAGACTTCGTCTCTATGCGGATGCCAAAAAGAAATCACTACATCTGCGCACACTACAAGGCAGAGATTTGCTCCAGGGCGTCATCGATAAGCAACGTGCAGAGTTTATTGAGCGCAAGAACTTCCTGGTAGATGATATACGCGAGGCCCGCTATAAGGTGCAGGAACGTGTGCGGGAAAAAATTGTCGAGATACGCGAAGAGCGTGAAAATATCATGACTATACCTAATATGCTGACCATAAGCCGTGCCATACTATCGCCCTATATTGGATACGTTATTGTGCAGGGTAACTACACGCTAGGCATGAGCCTGCTAGTCGTTGCCGGCATAACAGATCTGGTGAGTATTCAATTCGATATGTTGTAAATGCCATGCTTATCGATTCACATTCTTTTCCAGCTCGATGGTCAGATTGCGCGTCGCTGGCCCTCGCAGGCCAGTAAGGCAGGATCTTTTCTGGATCCCATGGCCGACAAACTTCTAATGGGATCCTTAGTTATTTCGTTATGCTACAGCGAGCTGATGCCTATGTGGCTAACTGGTGTTGTTGTATTCCGTGACTTATTCCTTATTGCCGCTGGCTTTGTTATACGCTACATTAGTCTTCCGCCCCCAGTAAGCATATACATATATTATTATAGCGTTATTTATAAAAACGAGACCATATATTTCTCATTTGCAGAAAACGTTTTCACGTTATTTTGATGCAACCCATGTGACCGCCCAATTGGAACCAACATTAATCAGCAAGATAAACACAGGTGTGCAGCTGGCTACAATTGGTATTAGCCTCGGCGCACCGATATGGAATTATATAGGTACATTGATATATAAAATTGGAGTTCATTTAATTAATAAGCCCATATTTCAGATCATCCAGCTTTGCATGGACTTTGGTATTTAACAGGCGTCACAACAATCGCCGCCGCCCTCAGCTATGTCATTAATCGACGCAATACTTTTAAGATTATAAAAAAGAAGACGTAACTGAGCATTTCATCTATTATTAAAACTAAAAACAAAAAACGTAAATAGTAATAGAACATTAACTGCAATGATTAGTATAGTCTTTTTGTAAACAAAATAGCTATTAGTAAAATTAAAAATTTTGTTATCGAATGTTCTATTTGAAAACACTGAGCTGATGTTCAACTGTTGCGTTATGCGAACGCATGGCCTTCGGTGTGGTGCTGCCGTATTATTTACTACTGCATACAATCGGCACTCTCTCTTTCAAATATGAGTGTAAATTTAGTTTCAATTATATGAAGCATTGATCATTTTTGGTTCATACAGAAACTAGGAAAGCGTAGATATGCGGACAACAGCCCTGTTATCGAAATATTGAATATTCTGACAGCATTATATCGAATTAAAATATTTTCAATCGTTTCCAGTGTTGCACAACGGCATTTCTGAACTGCGCGCATCATTTTGTTGTAGTCACTTCAACTTTTTGAAACGCAAGAAAAATAAACTAAAACTAATATTAATATAAAATACAGTCAACAAAATGTAAGAATTTATTTTTGTACTTAAAAACAAAAGCAAATGTAATATTCTAATTTGCTTTCAGGCCAAAAGTGAGTAATAATACAATGCGTGAGCTGGAGGACATTTTGAATGAGAGCGAAACCTACGCGGATCGGTTGACGGCTTTTCTTAAGCTGAAGACAGCACCAAAGCCTACAAGCAACGCACCTTTGCTAATATGCGATATGGACATGTCTTTTGATTTTGATGTTGATTTGATAAAACTGCCACCAAAGCTGCAACCAGCAGCTGCAAAAGATGCGATAGCAGCTGTTCCTAAGGAGCAGCCACTACGTGAGGTAACTAACCAGGCCACAGCTCCACATGATCCAGAAACCAAAACAGAAAGTCCAACTGTTTCCAACACACAAGAGAATAAAGAGCATACAGCACCCACATCGCCTGCATCACCAGCTCATGTCTCTGGATCTGGTCTTAGCTTGACCTCGCCTCGAAGATCCATATCGCGACGCAGCGGGATTAATGTGCCAGGCTCAGATCGGTTACGTCGAGCCGCTTTACACAGACGTTCACGCAGCTGTGGACGTCGTGATTTGCTAAAAGAGTTCATTAATGTGTCGAGGCTCAGTTCAAATTTTGTAAGTTTTGTTACTGCTTATAGAGAAGAATCCAACTAATTAATGTGCCTTGACAGGAGCCCCCCGTGAGCAGCACGCCAGCCGCAGAAAATAAGGATTCAGTCGAGCCCCAACAGTCAAAACCAAAAACTCCACATACTGAGTTCCACCAAGAACAACAAGAGGATCGACTATCACAAGTATGCAACTCTCAGCACGCTGGGCTGCTGACTTCGCAGCGCTCAGTATCACAAGATAGCAACAATAAGCGACGCACCTATACGATTGAAATGGGCCCAGAGCCTGGGCAGCTACTGCTGTCCCCGTCCAGAAAACACAGTCAGAACATGTCCAAAGCTAACGAATCGTTGAGACAGACACGAAGTCGTCTTGCACAATATAGAGAGCAGGCTGAACTATCAGCCACCCGGTTGAAGATATTAGCAACTGATACGCCTACGCGTACTTTATCGCACACACAACCAAATCCGGAATATATTGTACCCGAAACACAAGCGCAGCCAATGCTACAAAATTTGTCCAACAACGCTTTGATGGCACCTTTTGTGGTTGTACCAATTAACTCGATGCTCTCGGTTAATACTCAGCAAGCCACTACAACACCAGCTGCTGCACCAGTGGATGCAGCAGTTCAAGTAAAGCCGGCACCTACTGCAACGATGGCCAGTCGGAGCATACAAACCTCCTGCTGCCCGATTGCCGCGCAGAATTTGAATGAAATTATGACGGACGACGACAGCGAAGAAGAAAGGCAGTCAAGTCAGGCAGCTTTAAATCTGGCAGCCACTGCTCGCAATAGCAACCGACAGCATAATTTACGCAGTCGTGCGCAACAATTTGACAACTCCATGCAGCTGCTCGACTTACATCGGTCACGTTCAAGGGATTCGCGCAAACGCGATAAATATAAACCACGCCAAACAGTTCTTAATAAGCCCTCTCAACCGGCTATTAATGGCGAACAGTTTGCATACGAGCTGGCACGCATGAGCAATTACGAGATCTTAGATTTACGTAAACGGAACTCTTTGAGCAGACATCGCCCACTGAATGGTCATAGACAGCAGTCCACAGAGCAGCAACAGCTACTGCTGGATCAACACATCGAATGGGAAATATTGCGGCGCAATCTGGAAGAACCAAGCAAGCCGGACGCAGTCTCGTCAATGTCAACAACTGTAACTATGTCCGAGTATGATATGCGTGCAACTTCGCCAGCGGCACCACCGATGGATTTTAGGGATAACACCTTGTTGGAGCGTCAACAGAATAGCTTCATGTCGCAGGCGAAATGCTCGCACATCAGTCGCCGTGAAACCCTTAAGGTAATGCTTTGATTTCTTTATATAATTTGTGTTTTAAGCGCGTACTTTTCACTCGTAGAAAACGTTTGAGTCGCCTTCTATGGTGCCAGCAACACCTCCAGCTGACTTCAGGGACAATTTAATGCTGCCGCAGCAGAAAACGCGACGGTTGCGCTCCAGACATCGTGAACCGCCAATGGTAGTTGTTGAATCAAATAAAAATACAAATTGTGTAATAATTATTTTTCCCTCAACAGAGTGAGGATGAACTCCTGGCGGTCTGCACGCCACCCGCCCAATTCCGTAGATCCAAGTCCAGGCAGCGGGAAAAGCGGCACCAGCCACAGGTAGCGCCCGTACCACCTCCGTACCATTTTAATGACATGCCAGAAACGGATCTAGAGGAGGAAAATCAACAGCAATACAGGCAACAGCTCTTGCCCGAAACGGATCTAGAGGAGGAAAATCAACAGCAATACAGGCAACAGCTCTTGCCCGAAACGGATCTAGAGGAGGAAAATCAAAAGCAATACAGGCAACAGCTCTTGCCCGAAACGGATCTAGAGGAGGAAAATCAACAGCAATACAGGCAACAGCTCTTGCCACCGGCCCATTTCAACAATGAAGCACAGGAGATCAGTTCGTTTGAGGAAGATGTACGTATTGAAGAGATTATGCCTGATGAGCAGCCAAGCACCAGCACATTTGCTCAAGAGTCCATGAGACTAAGAACAAGAAGGCAGCTGAAAAGACAAGAGAAGCAGCAGCAGATAGAGAATAAAACTCCGCAAACGAATCTCCAGGATAAGCAAGAAACTAAATTACAAGGGAATCAACAAAGGGAAAAAGAAAATCAGAAGAAAGAATTGCCGGAAAGAGTGCTGCAGGAGAAACTTCAAATGGAAAAAGGAAATCAGAAGAAGCAAGAAAAGGTGATGGCTATACAGGAAAATGAGAATGAAAAAGAACTGCTGGAGAACCAACGAAGGGAAGAGCAGGAAGAGAGACAAAAGCAACTGGATGACAAATACAAGCAAGACAAGGCGCAGGCAAAGAAGATGGAACAACAGCAAAAGGAGAATCTTTTGCTAGAGCAACAGCAGCGAATGGAGAACGAGGGGCTAGAAAAAGAAAATCTTAGACAGGAAAATGAGCAATCGAAGCAGCTAAAACATAAAAGTAAAGAAGAAAAGCATAAGGAGAAACAACAGCTGGAGCAGGAGAAGATATGTCAGCAAGAGGAACCTATGCTATTACCAGAACAAGCGCCGCCAGAAGTCTTCAAGAAACCGAAAGCTCCAGCTCCACGAAGCAAAGCTAGTAAAAACCGTCAATTGAAGAGAGAGCTAAGTATGCTGCGCATAACGGTAGGCAACGATACACTGCCACCAGGTGAGCATGAATCCGATGCCAACATAAGTAAGTAATAAACTATCAAATGAATAAACCCAGTCATTAACGCATACTTAACTACTTCAGCTGGAGTTCGTCGGTCCAAGCGTGGTCAAGTGCCGCTGTGTAACACCTGGGTGCACAGCGTAAGCGACCCCTTCCAGTTTATGCGCAAATTGATAGACCCACCTAAGAAGCCATCGGCCAAAAACTCCAAAAAAAGAGCAGCTTCAACTGCTGTTGGAGGCAGTTCCATGATAAACAAAACACCACTGTCTAGCAGCACGCCTACTTATACGCCGGCTCCCCGGTCCAACAGTACAACAAGCAAACGCTCGAAGCAGCTTCAGCCGCATCAAGAGAAACATCAGAACGCAGTATTAAACGACTTCGATGCCATTTCAGACATCAGCATACTTAGCTACAGAACAGACGAAGAGCAGCCCGATGAGGAGGCGGTGATGAATGTTGTTGAGCCAACAGCTATGCCCATAAAACGGGGACACAGTAAAAAGACGCCGGCCGACTGCAGTGAGGCATCTAAAGAAACAAATAAAAACGATAAGGATAAGAAGAATAAGAAGCCAGCTACAATTGCAGTTGAACAAATACCGCAGGAGAAGGAGGTTATGCCTCCACCTGACTTGGAGTGCATGCCTGAATTTCCAAGCACTTCCTCATTTCCTAATCAGTCGCACGAACCTTCATCGGAAACGCTAATGTCCTGGCTATGCGGTGCACGCGAGTTGCCATTAGATAATACCGATGTTAGCGAAATAAATACTGATTCCATAACTATCTGTAGGTTTTCCATATAACAAACTATATACTTAGAATTACTTATATATTATTATTAATTTATATTTCCTGCTTATAGCTCGAGCAGCTAATTTGCACTTCTCGAAAATTGATGGCGTTGAATATGCCTTCTATCACACTGAGGATCGGTATTCTATGGGCTATATGCGCTTTCAGCCGCTGCAGCAGCGGGGAATGAAACGCGCGAAGACCAACACATTGGTTAGTAATAAATATTTTAATAATTCATAAACAAATACTAAGTTTTTAACCTTAGCGTTTTGTGGCTCTTCATGGAAATTTTGAGTTTGAGATACTCAGCCCGGAGTCGAAAGAAAGCTACCATGATATATTGTACACGGGAGACACTATAGAAATTAAGAAGGGTAAGAATTCAAGATGTTTTATTTTAATTTGATATCATTATACATTTAGCTTTGTTGAGGTCGACCGTTAACCATCCAAAATGTAATTTACTTAATTTTCTTAAACACATGTTTTTCAGGCAGCCGCTATAACATTAAAAACCGCTCGGATAAAGTTAGCGTAATAATGGTCTATCGTAGATGATTGTGTGCAAACATCTCTTTTTATATGTATAGATAATAAATATAAGTTGTTAATTATAAAAAAATGTTTTGGCTAAGTTTTTATTTATCTTTAGTTTTAAATTTTTATTATTTATATGTTTTGTTTTTGAGAAAATATAATAAAAAATAAGCGACACCTTAGCTATCAATTTTAAATTATGCAGAAACGATTTTAGTTTTTTAAAATAAGTCAACTGTTCAGCAACTGTTGAGCATGAATACAGGCCTGTTTTTTTAGAGCTACCAGATCGTCGTCAATGATACTTAAATCTAATATGGCAACGCCAAATGTGCTACCAGCTGTCAAAGTAGCTGTCACTCTTTTCTTTCTTTTCCGGTCAGCGAACAGACCTGTAAGTTCGCGTAAAATTTACGTCTAAAATAAAATCGTATATATTAAGTGTATTTACAAAACAACTGCAAATATAAAAAGCGCAAATTGACTGATAATTGTGTAACCCATGCCAACATATCAATATTGTTATACTGTCGAACGTTATTTAACAAAAAAAAGAATTTGCAAAGCGACCAATCAAAACAAAATAGTCACTGATAGAATTTTTATTATAAAAAACTTGTGCAAATAATTAGCGGGCAACATTTAGTTTAAAGTGTAACTAAAAACGAATAAGTGATTTTGTGCTAATTCTTTGCATCTCTTTTACATTTATTTTGCATGCACGCCCGCTGCTGCCGTCGATGTCGCTGCTGACTACCAACAACAACAAAACAAAAATGGATTGGGTCTGATTTGGAAACGGACAGCCGCCAAGATGAGGAAAATTATGAAACAGGGCAAGATCGTAATCGTCCTTAGTGGACGTTACGCCGGCCGCAAGGCTATCATTGTGAAGACCTCCGATGATGGTACGCCGGAGAAGCCCTTCGGTCATGCACTCGTTGCCGGCATCGACAGATACCCGCGCAAGGTAACCAAGAAGATGGGCAAGAACAAGTTGAAGAAGAAGTCCAAGATCAAGCCTTTCCTGAGGAGCCTGAACTACAATCATCTGATGCCCACCCGCTACACAGCGCACGACATCAGCTTCGAGAAATTGTCGCCCAAGGATCTGAAGGATCCCGTCAAGCGCAAGACGCATCGTTTCCAGACTCGTGTCAAATTCGAATCGGTGTACAAGGAGGGCAAGAACAAGTGGTTCTTCCAGAAGCTGCGCTTCTAAGCGAGGCAACTGTCTCTGTGGAGGTCTCTTGATTTATTTGTCGACGTTTTTTTTTAAGGTTAAATAAAAACACAAAATTCTGATATAAAGTGACCGAAACTAGCAATTGTTTTTGTGTTTGTATTAATATAAATATATAAACGATTGTTAACCTATTGTTGCCGTCGAATTGGCACAGCAAAACAAATGTTAACCCATGTTTGGCAAGCATCTATATAGTATAGAGATTTAAGTAAATCGTTCATTAGGGCTAGCTGATAGCTGCTAATCCTTTAGTTTTAACTTAACGCCAAGGGAATCGACACAGCTTTTGTTTGCTAGACCCTCCATTCATGTACGGACAAGGTTAGATGCCTGGAACATTTAACTTCAGTAGCATTGCCTTTTCCTTATACACACTTTAAACTCCATTTTACATCAGCTCGTTTATTTTTATAGTTTATTGAGGCAGAGGGAAAGAAAATATTTGTTTTGTTTACAAGTAAAAGGCACATAAATTGATTTTTTTCAATTATTTAATAAATATTCGAACAGAATAATACATTTTGTTTGAATTTAATTTTATATTCTTATAATCGTGTCTATAATATACAATTGTATGGCCTCACTGTACACTTTTGAAACTTGACAATATTGCAGAAAGGGCATTTTGTTTAATTATTCTTTTCGCTTAAGGATTGTGCTGTCGCCTAATGGGTTAACAAATTAGGTTGAACGAGTCAAAGTAGTTCAAAGCATTGCTGGGTCGAAAGAAGCTCTGTGAAAGAGAAAAAACAAAATGAATAAGAGAATTACAGATAAAAGAGGATTACAATATTTAAGATTGTCTTGCAATTCAAATTCATATTACCTGCAGTATAACACTTTGAGCGTCGGAGGTGCACAGAACACATAACACATAGCCGGGGCGGGGAGATTTTTTTAGTTGGTAAAGCAGCGCAGGTTTTTTGACCACATTGAATAAATAAATGGATTGCTTCTAACAATATTTATTGACATCACAATAAACGCTTTATGCATTGACTGAAGGTGACATAATTCTTAACAATTGTTGGCTCTGATTGGCTTAGTTGTGGGTTAATACGAAATTCATTATATTCTTTTATTGCATTTGTTGTTCTATTATTATTATTGCGGTTTAGTAGGGCTTTGGCTTTCATATGCGGATAGGGTGCCTAATTTTGGATGAAATAGTTTCCATGTGGCCTGTGGAACGGTTAAGCATGGATATTTTTTTTGTGTTTGGAGAGGAAAAAAATAGATGTAAATATGTCGGTTAGATTTGTACATATAATACTTCAGAGGGGTATACATTCAGAGAGGAACACAATGTTGTTGACGCAGAGCTACATACGTGAGGGTGTTTCAGTGTAGGTGTATGTGTGTTTATGTGTTGTGGGCACTACGGGAATTACTACTTACAATAGGTAAACAATTTAAACAAAATAAAAAACAGCTTTAAGCAAATCAAAGTTGGTTATAAAATTAGTACATTTGTGTTGGTTTGTGTTTTGGGGTTAGGCACAATTTGGGAGTATAACAGTTTTAACAGTAACGTGTAGCAAAGTTATTTATAACACTTACAGTTCTGTTCAATTTGAAGTAGGCAAAATAATACAAAAGAGCGCGAAATACTTATATAATACAAAGTAAAATATCGACAGACTATGTAACAGTGAAGTAAGAAGGACAAGCGAATAGATGGTAAACATATGTATAAACGCTATAAAACTAAATAGAGCAGTAAAAGAACGCCAACGGAAACGAGCATCACTCGCACTTTCAAAAACAAATATGCTTAAATATTAAATGCAAGTTAATTATTTTACCAATTCACACGCTTGGCACTCAAAATCTTGAGTATGTTTGCAACTACATCGGTGCTGCTGTGATTGCCGCCGAGATCTATAAAGAAATAAAGGTATGCTTATTAAAGGTAAATTCTTTAAGACTACACCAACTCTTGGCTTAATAGAAACTTCGGTTCACACAAATTTGTTTTTAGCTTAACAGACCTGGCGTGCGAATGGCATCATTGACAATCGTATGGTAGGTGGCATCATAGATAACCTTCGCATGTTCCTTGTGGCCCAAATGATTCAACATATCAATGCTCGCATTGATCATAGCCACGGGATTGGCTATATTCTTGCCGGCAATGGCAGTGCCTGTGTTACGAGTACCAGGCTCAAAGATAGCAAACTAAAAACAAAATCAATTTACAAAATTAATAACTAAATCTACAGATGTATATATATATATAGAACGCACGTGATCGCCATAGTTGCGTCCAGAGATCAGACCAGCGCCGCCAATAAGTCCACAAATCACGTTCGACACAATTGTGCCATACAAATTTGTCATATTCATGACATCGAACTGATGGGGATTCGATACGGCTTGCATGCAAGTGTTGTCAATAATCATGTTGTTATGCTCCAACTCCGGATAATCCTTGTGTACACGATTGGCCACCTCCAGGAAGAGGCCGTCCGACAGCTTCATGATGTTTGCCTTGTGGATGGTCGTCACTCGCTTGCGATTGTTTTGACGGGCATATTCGAAAGCGTAGCGTGCCACACGCTCGGCATTATCCACGGTAACCACCTTCATGCTCTCCACTACGCCTCGTACAGACTCGTGCTCCAACATGGCATACTCACCGTCGGTGTTCTGGCGAATGAGCACAATGTCGATGTCCTTATGGCGCGCGGGAATGCCTGGATATGACTTGCAGTGCACTACATTCACGTAGAGATCAAGCTCATTTCGTATGGCCACATTGCGGGACATTTCGGTTAAGCTTTGCGACTTCGTCTCAATATTACCCTTGAGCGCAACGCCATTACGTTTTATGGATGTAATTGCATACTCCAGATCATCGTTTCCCTCGGTGGAAGGATCAATGTCGATTACCTCAAAATCAATGGGAGCACCGCAATATCTAAAGATCTCACGAACATAGCCCATCAATTCGGGTCCAATGCCTCCACCAGGCAGCATGGTGACACCATGACGGCCACCATATTGCGCCGATGGTATATCAGTTCCCTATTAGAGAAGCAACACCAGATACGTTTACGAATACATATCCACAATTTGTATAACCTCAAAAACATACCGTTACTTTCTTTTGCAAAGAAGATTTAGTGTGAGCCACGTCTTCAGTTTTCTCCTTGGTCACGAGTAATGGATATCCCTGCAAATATCATATTAAATTAAATTTGTAGATCACTTTTTATCCATGCTCGAGCTCCAACGCATTATGTAATTTTCATTTGCCAACCGCTCCGTTGGCCAATTGTGCGTCTAGACTTCTCTTCTTACTTACGCGTGTTAGGAAGGGCACCTGGGATTGTATCAGTTTTTGCGTTAATCGGATAGCCATGTTTCGTTTTTATATTTTCCAAGTGCCCCTTGCTTAACTGATCAGCCCTTTTTTAATTTACTTTGAGTAGCCACGGCCAAAACTCAAAATCATATGTTTACGAAGCGATATTCGCGTCGATAAGACAAAATGCACAACTATCGATTTGTAAACAAATAAGCTATCGACTGGCAGCACTGGCACCATTCCGTGACGTCATTAATACTCTTAGTTTCGGTTTGCAACTTTCGGTTTCGTTATGTATTTATTTATGTTCGAGTTTGTAACCAGAAAATATAAACTTCTACTTTTTAGCTTAAGCTAACAGTCATTCTTTATTTGCTACAATGAAATTTATAAATTTGGTCACCATGTCTTTCGTAGTGTATAAACTCTTCGGTGTGTTGCCATATTATTTCCTCAAATTGCTGTTACGTTAACAACCACACGCATTTAGAGTTTGTTTTTGAATTAAAACAACTGTGGTGCAGCATGTGGTCATAGGAAAAACAGTTTATAGACATTAGACTGAGAAATGGCAGCGGAATTAGGGCCCGCCGCATTTCCTGCACAAATCGATATGCAGGAGCCGGTCTCAAAGATCAAATTTCTACACGCACTCGCAGTAAGTTTTTTATTAAAAAATTAAAAGCAATCTGTTATTTTGCATATTGTTGTCCGCATGTATTGTATTGTTGTCTAGGCTGGCGGTGTGGCTGGTTTCGTGGTGGACATAGCATTGTTTCCCATTGACACAGTTAAGACGCGTCTGCAAAGTGAGTTGGGCTTCTGGCGCGCGGGTGGCTTTCGAGGCATTTATAAAGGGTTAGCCCCAGCTGCAGCTGGCAGCGCACCTACTGCTGCCTTATTCTTTTGCGCCTACGAGTGTGGCAAACATCTGCTAAGCTATGCGAGTAACACCAAAGATTCGCCATATGTGCATATGACAGCTGCCTCCAGTGCCGAAGTTGTGAGTAGCTAACAGTTCAGGCCAGGGGAGCTTCGTTAATCTCATAAATTGCTTTTGGCATAGCTGGCCTGCCTTATACGTGTACCTGTTGAAATTGCCAAGCAACGTTCCCAAACACTCTTGGGCCACAAACAGCATCAGACAGCACTGCAGATATTAATGCGCGCTTATCGCAGCGAGGGACTGCGACGTGGTCTCTATCGCGGATTTGGTTCAACGATTATGCGCGAAATTCCTTTCAGCTTAATACAGTTTCCACTGTGGGAATATTTTAAACTGCAATGGACGCCAATGACTGGCTTTGATTCGTCACCCCTAACAGTGGCTCTCTGTGGTGCCATTGCTGGCGGCATTGCGGCTGGGCTGACAACGCCGTTGGATGTGGTCAAAACGCGAATAATGCTTGCAGACCGAGAAAGCCTGTCGCGGCGTCGTAGCATACCAGCTGTACTGCATGGCATTTATATAGAACGTGGCATAAGCGGGTAAATAAAATAGGTTTACATATGCTGACTTAATATAAATATTTATTCTTATATATATTCCAGTTTGTTTGCCGGTGTTGTGCCTCGCGTTCTCTGGATAACATTAGGCGGGGCATTTTTCTTTGGTTTTTATGATCTAACAACGCGTTTATTGAGCGCTGCAAATGCTGCTGATTAACAGCTTAAATAGGCACATATTTTTAGTAAATGTACAAAAGTTTGTGGAACATTTAGGCATAACTTTAAGCTGATATCAACAGCAAACAGATAACATAGACAATAAAATAAAAGTTTATACAATACAATATAAGCTAGTGTTTAGTCTTCCTTCTACATTTTGAAATGTTGTATTTAATTAGACACGCAATGCAATATCATTGGCATCCAGATGCACTTGATTTGACTGTGGATAGTTTGCTGCACGCTGCACCTAAGTATGTGTATATAGTTAATATAGAATTTAAATACAATTAATTAATGAAGAAGGCACTCACAGTTGATATATGCAAGCGTGCATCGAGCAGACTGGTAATGGCATTTGGTTCGTCTGCACCAGCCATTGATACATCTGAATCGTCATCGTCAACGTTTGTGTAGCCATTACGCGTGGCATTACGACGCTTGAAGCATATAAAATTGAATGGACGGCGGCTACGTGACATTACATATACCTTAAAGTAGTTAGTTGAAACGCATATGCAAATAGAAATAACGCAGTTGTACAAATATCAAGACAGATAAGAAAATTAAAATGAAGTTTACCAAGCCAGCGAGCAGAACAACTCCTAGCAGCACCAAAATTGGTAACCATATGTATTGGGCATCATCTGGGTGCTCCAAATCAGGGTTTACAGTTGTAACAGTCTCGATATCCATAATGGTTCTTGGGAGGCTGAACGAGGATTTAAATCGTCGATTGAATGTCAAAACATAAGCCGGTGCCAGTGTGACCACAAAAAATCTTCTTTATAATATAAATATATCGTTGGAGAACAAACACAGTGATGGAAGTATAAATCAGTTACAGATGGCAGTGACTAAAATAATTAGTATCTTTTTATTTAACATCTTACGTACTTTCCAAATAATTATTTGGTGTGCTTGAGTTCATGCATTGAGTTACGGCTGACATTATTCGATATTAGCCTATCGATATTTATTTTTCAATATATCACATCGCTAGCTATGCTGTGTTTGGTCTCCTTTACCGCAAAGTTTGTTTATAATCCCAATTTAAGACCCGGGCGTTGTTTTTATTTAAAAATCCGAATGACTGTCTCTATTGCTGATATTGTAATTGAAGACTTACGCAACTGCTGTCGTATTTGCCTTGAGCAGCCGCATCGTGCCCAGATGCTAGACATGAATCTGATATATGATGAGGAAGCTCGGCTAACATATTACGATTGCTATGAAATATGCACAAAGGACAATCTGCGAGAACGCGGGGAACATGAGCCCCACACACTATGCAAGCACTGCGGTGTAGAGCTACAGTGGGCTTATGATTTCTATAAAAAGGCTGCACTGGCCAAAAAAAAGCTACAAAATATGCAATCCATTGTGCAAGGCGAAGGTGAAGATGAGGAACAGATCGAACAAGATAACAAAGATGAAGTGTTACATGTAGTGACTGTAGAAGATGAGGCTTTAAGTGATGTGGAGGACGCGGTGGCAGAGCAAACAGCCAGTGAACCGGATACCCTCAACTCTGCCCCAACAATAGTTTACTCGAATGTCACTGATGTCCTGCCCCGTCTGCGTCATTCGGGTCCATTTAACTGTCAGTTCTGCCAGAAAGTCTTCCGCAATCATTCCCATATGTTGAAGCATCAGCTTATACATCTTTCGGATCGTCCGCATTTCCAATGCAATGCCTGCGATCGCTTTTATCTCACCAAGCAGGCGCTTAAGGTGCACGTGGACACGCAGCACAAGAAGTCCGGCAGGGTGTGTGGCATTTGTGGCAAAGTGTTTGCCATTGCCAAAGGTCTTGAAATACATATGCGCTATCACAATGGGTTCTTTCCATTCGATTGTGATCAGTGCGATCGTAAATTTGCGCAACGCTCCCACCTGAACGTCCATCAGCAGGTGCAGCACAGCAGCGCACGTTTCCACTGTGAATATGCTAGTTGTGGCAAGCTGTTCACCTCGTCATCAGCGCTGCGTAATCATGAGTGCACCCACACCGAAATGCCCTTCGAGTGCAATGTCTGTCGGCAAGGATTTCCGGCTCGTTATAAGTTAGTGCAAGTCTATTTAACCAAGTGCAAGTGCAAGTCTATTTAATCTCTCCTCCTTTCATGCAGATTGCGACTGCACGCACAGCGCAAACATAACATGCAACTGACACTGGAGCAATTAGAGACCATGCGCAAGTTTCATATAATGCGCTCAAAGCGTGTTCTGGCCAAGCTTGATGCAACACAACAGCAGCAGGAACCGCAGGACGAAGAGGAGGAACACAAGCAGCTTCATGCCTCAACTAATGACAGCTAAGAGCAATTTAAATGATGATTCAAGGCTTTAACTGGCTGGCATTTAAAAACCAATTTAGACATTACATTAGTGGATTCTTACAAATATCACATTGAATGTATTTCACGTTTTGTTGAGTTGGTTAACAATGACTTGGTTGCACATATAGACATATAGATACATATATATCATATATATGATTACAGTATAGACATCATAAATATGGAGCTATCAAAGTATAGGCTCAGTGGCTCAGCGTCAAAGCAAGCGGCATAGCCTTTGTGCCTGTGGTGGTTGTATATTCTTCTGGATTCTGTGAGGAGCCCGTCGCAGTGCCCGTTGTGGTATTGGCCACATTACCATGTCCCGTCTCCGCTCGCTTACGTGACGTTATCTTCTTCCAGCCGCGCAGTAGGATTTGATTACGATACTTGGGCGTAGTGAAGGTATAGAGCAACGGATTGACAGCCGAATTAAGGGGCAATATGAAGACGACCAGCCAAGCATAGATATCATCGGAAATGTTGTACTTGAAGAACACCCAGATCTTCATCGCTATTATCGGCGCCCAGCACAGAACATCGGTTAGCACAATGAAAAAGAAACGCACCGCGAATTCACAGTCCAGCAGCGAAAGGGGCGTGGCACTGCGCGTACGCCAAATAGAGATCAACAGGGCCGTATACAGTAAAGCTATCATCAGCAGCAGCAGCAAATTAACACCGAGAAAGACAAATGCCGAGTACTGCCAGCCCAGTGGATATGCCTCGTGTATGAACAATGGAAAGCAGGTGCCAGAGTGAGTGCCGTAGAACTGACTGCTGGAGTACCAGATGACTAGGGGCGTCACAGCCAGACCCACACCAGTTACCCAAATGCACAGCAGCGAAAAGTAAATGATGCGCACACTGATCGCGCGATGCCCACGAAAAGGATCCGCTATGAGCAGGAAGCGTTCCAACGACATGAATGCCAATATCAGCATGGATACCTCCGAGGAGCTTACAGCCAGCGTACCAATTGCCTTGCATTGCCACGACTTCAGCCAATCGCGAGCCACCCTAAAAAGAGATCTTTCTAGCTATAATTTATGTACATATAGAAAACCCTGTTACATACATATGATATTCATCCCTGTAGCGATAGTCCTGAACGCCTAGCATGAGCAGATAGAAACCCATTAGCATATCGGCTAGCGCTAGATTCCTGATGACCATGGTCACCGCCACGTTCTCATCGCGATAGATGAAGCGACCCCAAAGTACCATCAGATTGCCCACTATGGAGAGCGTTGCCATGAACCAGGTGGAGTGACGCAACAAGGGCTTGCTCAGCAGATCCTTAAACGAGCTAACGCCATCCGTCTTGGGCTTACACATCAGCACATGCGGCGTCATGGAGCAGAAGTAGAAGCGATCAAACACTATGTACTTCAGATTGGTCATCCTGTTGAGTGCATCAAAGTCAATGCGCTCAAACTCGATGCCCGTCAGATTCAAGAAGGAAACATTCAGCGAATCCATCAAATTGCGATCGATGTGCAGCGGCATGTAAGCCAGGGAGCTGTTTAAGGCAGAAGACATGAAAGCAAAAAGATTTTGAAATAATAAAAGTGTTATTTAAAAATATATTAGTTATCATATAAAATTATTAAATATTATTGTTTATTAATTTTTATAACTTTCTTCCTTTTGTTATACGAAAATTAATCCCAATGCTCTTATGTTAAAATGGGATATATATTTTTTTAAACATCAATAGTTTTACTTAAGTTTTAGTGACCCTATAAAAATATATTAATTATTTTTAAATATATTAAGAATTTGTAAATTTTTTTAAATTGAATGAAAATTTTGGAATTTATAGCTTGAACTCAGTAAATAATTTTTTTTATTATTCTAACATTGTTTATGTGTAAAAATGTTTAATTTGTATTTTTGTTAAAATTTTTATTTGTGTTACTTTAACATTAATTTTCTGCTGTCTCTAACGTTAAATGGACCCCACACAGTTCCCTAAGAATTTAAGCTCTAAAGCAGCGTTTCAATTTCCTGATAAATACGTAAGGCTCCATCTATATAACGTATTCACAACATAAATCCAAGTTAATTCTTAACCCCAAATGGCCCACGTCTGGCCCCCAAATAGAGCCCAAAGCATTTCTTTCTACTTACAGTGCCTCCAGGTGGGTATTGTACATAAATGTTTCGCCAGATAATTCCTTAATGGGATTGCCAATGAGGCGGCTGTAAAACAGAGAAACAGACGAATGCATGAAATGGCGCGTCTCATAGACAAACTGCTAGATTGCGCATACGCCGCATAAGCCAAATAATAGGCACACACGCACAAATATCTTAAGCTGATAAAAGCAAAAAGAGGACAACATTTGATGATGCTCTCAACTCTGGCTTACATATGTGTTGTTAGTTATAGCCTGAGCAGTAGATGTTTAAAAAATCGTTTGCAGCGAACTTTAAAAGTCGCAAAGAAATAAAAGAAACGAAAGTAACAAAAGTGCGACATAATAACGAAAATTCTTATTTAATAGCTGTGAATCCCACTTGCATTTTTTCTCTCTCTCCCTCAGTCCCTCTATCGCTTTCACTATGTCTGCTTGTGCTATAAATTACCGCACACAGTTATAGTTTATCTTGGGGCTTTGTTTTGGGGTTTGGGGCCTGTTGCTCAGTCACAGGAAAAAGCGCATCATTCATGACAGCCAGCAGACGTTGTCTGCATCCTTGCTGGCTCCAGTTGCAGCTTCTTAGCTGCCATTCCGCTCCCGCCCCACACGACCCTTGCGTCTGTGAAGTGCAGCAGCTGATGTTGATGCTATTTAGCTCCATTCGTTGCACTTGTCTGGTCAATCAATGCCGGCGTCAACTGAAAACAGTTTGTTTTTATAGCTTGCCGCGCATAGACAATACCATGCGAATGTCCGCCTCTTCAGTCTCCGCTCAAGCAACTCTCTAGCTGGTAATTGCTCGCCAGCTATAAAGTTGCATTGCGAGCTGGGAGAAGGAGTGGGAGGCGATGTTGTTGGCACTAGCTTAACCATAAAGTAAATGTTTTACTTGTAGCATAAATTGCTTTTTGATAATGCGGCCATCCTTGGGCGACTTAGCCCTCTCGATGGATAACTGTCCAGCAATTTTATGTAAATTGTCAGACATTTAATGCCAGGCTTTGTGCCTTGGCTGTCCGAGCATTAAATACGCTACTTAATAACTGACAACAAAATGTTTTTCTTTTTTTTGGGACAGCTGTTTTGGGGTCTTTCGGCAATTGCAGACGACAATTAACATATTTCGCAAGAGCGGCCAACAAGTTGTTAAAGCATAAGTATGCCCTAGCCCTATTCGACCAACAAATAAGTAGCTCAAGTAATGCCTTTTGCTCTTGCACAGGCACACACACAAACACATCCGTGTGTGTGGGTGTGTGTCGCTCTGCGGTTGCCTGCGCACGAAAGTAGGCAACATAATGCGTCAATAGAGTGCCCACACGCGCACTTACACCCGCACCCACATACCCACACACGCACAGCTGGTCGGTCAATGCCCAACTTACAACATGTCAAATAGATGCGCATAGTTGTATTACTGCAATGACAGTACACGAATTGAGGCTTAACATTTGAGTCGAGTGGTAAACAACGACTAAGCAAATACTCTGATTTACATGCATCCCTTGAACAAGCGTCTGAAGAGACATGAAGAGTATGGAAAGTATTTGAAAATATTTCAATATTTTTGTACATTGTTGAATAGAAATATATTTGTATATTTATGTTTTTTTTTTTGCAGAAGATCTTATAATTTGTATGTTTCAGTCTTGATATTTCAAGTTAGGTATATAATTAGTGATTTTTTCAGAATTTAAAGTCTTTATACATTTTTTTTTATTAAAATTACTTTTAATATTAAAATTATTCTTATATAGACATTCCTAATGCGTTTGAATAAAAAGCAAACAAACTTCGCCTTCTTTTAATTTTTGGGAAATTATTTAATAAGATAGTATAGATAATACCGTTATACTATGCCAATTATATTCCTGAGTTAGCAAAATAAATATTTTTAGCTGAATTTAATGAGATTTCAATAGAAAGCATTTAAAACAATATTTAAATTCATGTATTATATTAAAAAACGTTGCATACAATGATCAAAGGAAATGAAAAATATTTTATTGAAATTCGATTTACAAGTAAAAAATATTTTAAATAAGTCACTTTGTTAAAATTGGTAAAATCCTGTAGTTTTTTCTTAAAATTCGTATGAGAAAATAAATGTGTCTGGGTTCAAATCATATTAGGAAGATTTGAATAAAAATATGAAATTATTTTTTACTTAAATAAAAAATATTTCGATGTGCTTAAAATAAATAAATATTCTGGAAACATTTTAGGTTTAGGTCCTATATTTCTTTTAGGCTATATTCAAAAAGTCTTCGAAGGAAACCTCTTCATTATATTGACATGATTCGTATAATATTTAAGAAGCGCATCAGTTGACTCAATTATAAAGCAATTAATATCAACTGCGTGGGGTTGTAAGCCCTTTGCTGGCATTTGCGAGCCCTCAAATAAAGGTATTAGGCCAATCAGTGGAAATGGCACGTACTGTGACGAATCCGTTTGAGCAATGGGTCCGCGTTCGAGGTTTTATTGTTTGCTGTAGCATTACCATCATGTTGGCCGCAATTAACGTCATTAAATATCTAAAGGACGACCAGAAAGGACACCCTGTGCGCACACACACAAAATTGCCAGAAGACAAGTAGCTTAGGCTAAAAATGAGCTGTTCGTGCGAATTTTGCTGGGAATAGCAAAAATCAAATTAGTGCAGCGATTTTTTATGTCCAGCTGGACAGGAAACAAGCAGTCAGCAGAAATGTGAGCAGCATTTTGAGAGAGACGCTGATACAGAGCCAGTTGCAGATACAGATACAGATACAGATACTCACATATGTATCTGTGAGATACAAAACGCTGTGTGCCATAAAAGTCGCATTTGTTTTATGAACTTGACGCCGAGCAACTGTTCAAAAATTCACAGCACGCTTACAGGCGCATCATATGCATGCAAATAAACAGACACAGACGGGCACACGCCCTTGGGGGCGTGGCCACATCAACAGGCAAGCAAAGGATTTCACTGACTTTGGGGATAATAATGGCCACACACAGCGACAATTTCAATAAACTCCTTCATTATGGCCGCACAGCGCAGCTAGAACAGCTAGGGGGCAGGACTTGAAGCTCATGTAGTTCATGTTCTTCATGTTCGCATCAGGCGCTCTGCTGCTTTGTTGAAATTGTTTTCGCATAAAATACAAATTTATTTGCATTTTTATTTGGTCATAATACAGTTTGTTTATTTGCCGTCCCAAAAGTCCAAGATACAAAAGCTACACATATATTTTGTTAAAATGTACACAATTTTGGTCAAGTGACAGCCACAACACATACTACAAATGTGTGTGTGTATTGGCATTGATATGCTGATGCTGATGTATATGTTAGTTGAGTTGGTAAATTTATTAACGCCACTGTCTCATGCCAGACTTGCCCAAATCTAAGACCACATTTATTAAATATGATATTGATATATTTATGTTTCACAATATGAAAATATACACACATACATATATTTGGGATTAAAATATGCGTAAGTAACAGCAATAGCTAAAGCAGTCGAACTGAGTTTAACTGGCGACATAAAGATACAAATGTATCTCAAAGAAATGCTAGAGAGAAATGAAGTTTAAGCTTATGCAAATCTTGCGTATAAAATATTAATAAATTAAAAGAGAAATATTTCATGTGTGATTTAAATGTGATATATTAGGTGTATTGAAAAGTTGAAGAAACTTGAAAAGTTTAATTAAATAAAGTCTCTTAAGGTAAAGGTAGAAAAAGAGTTGATTTAGTCGATGAGTATTTTGATAAGCAATAAAAAAAATAAGCAAAAAAATAAATTAAAAGTTAGTAATGCCCATTATACATTATGCAAGTCAACTCGCCACCAAGGAACTAGGCTAAAGTTAAGTTTTCCAATATCTTTCAGAAACTGAATCTTTACAGTATTAAGCATACGCCATGTGGTGCCTGCTTAGGAGCTTGAATTCTCATCACAGCTATTAACATTTTTATGAGCCACTGCTACATTTTGGCTTCTAGATTGTATGTTTTGTTTCGAGTTACCACACGCACACATATACAACTTTTATACGAGTTGGCCATAAAGCCTCGGCTATGTTTATGCAATAAGTAGTCAAATTAGAAGGCGTGGCGTGGTCTCATAAAAATACCAAAGGGAAAGAGTGATCGATGTGGTCATGGATATAACTATAAATAGATCTATTAACGATTACAATAGCGCATAAATTGCCTAAATAAATAAAAACAAAGTCAATATATTTGCCAGCCGAAGGATTAAGCAGAAAACAATTTTGATTTTCCTTTGTGAGTAGATTTTTTATCTCTTTTCAGTTTTTTAAATCTTTTTTGTGTGTTTACCAACTCATTTCAACTTATGCAGAGCTCAGCGATTGTCCAGCTTTGGCTTTGTTTGCTACCAGACGAGTTTATTTACCCTGTCCAAAGGGACATTATAATTATTTATATTTTAATGCAAATTAAAGCTTTTGCACATAATTCATGCTTAGCGAGCGCGTTCCTTCTTTTTAAAATTGTTTACTAATATTACTTTATACTCACATATCCAGAATTGCTTTCAGCTTCGCAAAGGCTTCCAAGTGTATGTGTGTGATAAGATTATACTGCAGATCTCTGTGAAATATAGTTAGGAATTAAGTCATTAGTAACAGTAAGAGCAGCTAAAGAGTTTATTCAATCGTTTTTCAGCGAAATAATTTAAAGTAATTCGGAAATCTCAATTATCAATTATCAAAATCACAATTATTACGAAAATGAAATCATCAAGTTTAATCAATTCAATTCTATAGAATTACTCGATCTATATATATTTAAAAATTAAGTTGTAAAAGGGCTATTTCGTGTTCTTATAGTTGGAATATCATATACTGATTACATAAAGAATTTTATTAATCATATCACTAAGAATTCATTACCTCTCTGAACTATAAATATGAATTAACTTGACAATAAGCTAAGCAATTTATGTCATTAATTGTAAATATATATTTTAGTTGAACGACCATCCTATCACTCACTTAAATATTCACTCAAATTGTCGCTGCTGTAATTTGTCTAGGTTATTTTTCAAATCATCCTCAGGCGTTTCGTGATGAGCCGCAAAAAATATTGCGTATACGCAGCGTGCGTCAGCTTAAGCCAGTTTTAGCTAATGCTGAGAACGGGCAAGTAGTGTGGGCAGACAGCGCTTGGGTAACTCAAACACACATTTATTTACGTGCGGCAATTTGTGATGCTGATTTATTTTCACTTACCAACACGCCGGGTACCCAGACGACCCATTGACTTATATTGTCAGCTATTGATGCATAAATTAATGATTATGTGTAGCCGACGCTCCGACGAAAATGCCTGATAAATGTTTTTGAATTGTCGCACAGCTAGAGATATGAGTGAAACACACACACACAGACACACACACACACACAGACACACACGCACACACACACACACACACACACACACACACACACACACACACTCAATTTGCATGACTCGACTTGCGTTTAAATATTTGCTTTGTCGCATATGCTCTGTGTAAACAATTGAAAGTGAAATTTATGCTTATTGGCGCATAAATTCAAGCGTCTGAGGTGTCGAATTCAATAACATAGACCAAATATCAACTGCGTCAACTATGCGTATGCGTAATTTGCTTGAACATCTCTGCTGATTCAATTTTGCTGGCTGTTTTCCTAGGGATAGGGATATAGGAGTGAGCGATGCTGCTCGGCCTTGCCAGGCAAATGTAACCCATATAAATCTTGTAGCAGCCCCGATGATAGCGATGCCGAAAACGAAATGAAAGCAAAATGCAGTCAAGAGTAAAAATTACGCATACGCACCATAAAACCTAAGTACAACATATTTCAATAGAGTTTTCGACACTTTATGTGAAGAGTTCAGGGCGAACAACATTTAAAACATTAAATAAAAAACAAAAAGTAAGCAAAACGAACGAAAAATGTAATGATGCCGCCTCTAACTGTGCGTCCTTGACGCATAAGCGCATAGCTCTGTTCCCTTTCACTTACAGCAGCTCCAAATTATCCAATTGCGCAAACGTTTTCGCGCCAATGTATTCGATGCGATTGTTATCCAAGAAGCTGCAAGAAAACCAAATGTAAATGCAATTAAAATAAATGTTAAATGAATTGAAGCGAATTTTCATTGTCAGCGAGAGCTTGAATACGCTTTTAATAAGATGTAAAAAAGTTTGAATATTTTTATTGATAATAAAACTATGTAGAATTGTTGTGGCTCGAATATTACTTTATCTGTCTGTCTATCAATTTATAAATATATATTATATTTATATACTCGCTTTATATAAGTAAATAAAATATTTAATAAAAACCTTAATAAATAGTTAAATCTCAAGCTTAAAATTTTAGTTTTCAACAAAAATTTAAGTGCAAAATCTAGTTGTAAAATATATCCTCAATATATATCTTAACTGGACTAAGATATATACTCAATGTACATCTTTACTAGGACTTGGATTTAAAATATAACATATAAATAAAAATATAATATAAATTAAATAAATAGTTAAAGCTCTGGCTTTATATACTTTTTCAAATAAAACATCTAAGTCCAAAGTTTAGTTAAGTAAGTTAATATATATTGAAAATCTAGCGCTCCTTGGGCTCAGCATCTGTGGCTGCTTCTTCGCTTAAGCCTTTGCTAACGCTCACAGTGCGCAAGCACTTTGATTTATTTAAAGATGCCTTTGTTAGTGTATTTCGACTAAAGAACAAGGCAAATGCTCGCTAGCTAAATGTTTGCGAGTATTTAACTGTTGGTGGCCGTATCTAAGCCAAGGTCTGTTTGTATCTTTTTACGGTCGCCTGACCAAATGATATATGAAGGTTTCTTAGTTAGTTGAGCCTGGTTTTTTGACCAGCGCCATAAATTGCGCTCGCTTAATGGTGTTTAAAGGCCTTCTAAAGTGATGCGCACAATTGTTTAAGAACAATTTATGTTAGCTATTAGCACACTTATTGATAAACATAATACATATGTTAGTTTGTTTTTCTCTATAAAGTTCGCAAACTTTCTCTTTGACAGCTTTAAATGTTGAATGTTTAGCTCGCTGCGAACTGTTATTATGGCCATCCATGGCACATCCTAATGGCATATAACTGTAACACCCATTGCCAAATACACTCTGTGTAGGAGCCCAGCACATGCCCTACTGCACTTGATGGCCCTCAGGCTCCGGCCCGGCCTCAGCCAAAAAGTTCTGTCACAGACTGTGACGCAGACACTGTAAAGCATTTCACGCTTGAATACATCAACTGAACGCGAGTGTATGAGACCATAAAATCTTGTGGGCGTGGCAATGGCCAGCATACTCGATACCCAATTCCATGCCCTTTTTTTTAATCTAACAAATAGCTGCAACATTAAGTCGCTGTGCCATTCCCAGCCCAGAGCTTCAGCTTTTCACTTACATTTCGACGAGTTTGGGACTTTTGGCCAGCTGCTCGTTCCGCAGAGTCAGACGATTGTGACTCAAGACGAGCCACTCCAGCTTGTGCATTTCAGCCAGCTGGTCCATGGGAAAGTGGCGCAACTGATTGTTCACCAGAAAGAGCCACTGCAGCGCCGGCAAATCCCTGAATATGCCATGTGGCAATTGGCTAAAATTGTTGTGGCCCACCTCGAGTCGTTCCAGATGTGGCAGACCGCTGAAGCTGCCCACTGGCAGGCGTGATATGTTGTTATACTTGAGTGTACTGCAGATAGATATCACCTGCATGTAGTAGAGACAAAGATCGGGCTGCCTAGATCACTTACAGTTTCTGTAGACGCGTTAAGTTGGCAAACAAATTCTCTCTCAGTGTCAGATTGTTGCGTATGATGAACAGATTTGTCACCTCATCGCTGATGCGCGGCCAGCGTCGCAGCTTGGCGAATTTGCCACAGTAAAGCATCGTGCCACCGCCGCATCGGCACACACGTGGATATGTTGTTATAGCTGTAGGATTGTAGTTATGAGAAATATGGTACGCCATTAATAAAATAGCTCCTAAAGTCTATAATTCAAATGAACAAAATTTAAATTTATAAAAAAAATAATAAATAAAATAAAAATTAATAAAATACACGAGTAAACATTTAACATCTCATTTTAAGTGGACAGACGTATAAGCAGAAGGATATGGCTAGAGCGACTCAGCTCATCGTCCTGATCAACAAATATAATTATGGGTTCAGTCTAGACTGCTGTACGCAGGTCAATTAAACAATATTTTTCACATTTAATGCACATATTATTTATTTTGATTGATGGCATGACTGAGTGTGTGATTGCTTGATGATAAGCCCATGGCTTAAGCTGTAAGCACTAGCAAGCAAAATGCGCTTCATTTTATATTCAATAAATTTTGAACTTATAAATAAATGAATTAAATAATAAAGCTAAAAGCAGATATTCAAGAGCACAATTAAGTATTTAAGACAAAGACGTCACTCAAATAGTTTCCATCGCTTTTAGCTGGCCTTTACGTTGGCATAGACAGGCTTATGCTAGATTTACATTTGTGGCTGAATGAACTTTAAGCGGATTTCTCTCAGTGCTGTCAAATACGTACCGCAGGGCATGAGCAGGCTTTGATTTCTGCTGTTCGCCAGCGACGACAAATCCCAGGCGCTGGAGTTTGAACTAACTATAGCCAGACGCTGTTGTTGCTGTAGCTGCTGCTGCTTCTTCTTTTCAATAGCATTACGCACGATTTTATCGGCCAGCTCCTTGCTGCCGTAAAGATTGCCACACTCGACCGGATTCTCATCGCTGCCATCCGCACAGTCGAGATGCTTGTCGCACATTTGGCGCTGCGGCACGCACTGTATGCCATTGTTGCACGCAAAGCTGCCCGTGGGGCAGGGTCCTTGATAACAAAACCAAAAAAAAAAGGAAGGGAAAGAAAGAGAAAAATAATTAATAACGCCCAACGCAGCATTGCAGATTCATATTGACCTGAATTGACACGATTTGCGTCTTGCAATTTATTTGTAAAGCGCTTCATATTTTTGTATTACTCATACGTCACGTTGGCCACACTAAAGTTTCCTTATGACTAATCGCACAACTGGATGCGGAACTTGTTTTGTCTACACTCGTTCTTCCTCTTCTTTACGAGTTCACAAAAGTCACATAAAACAGCAAATCAATTAAAATTAATGAGCGCAAAACTTTCAATTGCTTTTATTTCCATTTTGTTCTCAGCTTTGTTGTCTTCTTGCCTGCATTAACATTTCATGTACTTCAATGCTAGAGTAAGTGTTTTAATTAGCATTTCTATAGATGCTTTAAAAAAACTTCACACGTATTTGTCATCGGAATCGGCCATTTCTGCAACGCCTTATATCTATGCTCTGTGTGTCTTTTTTAGAGAAAGTTAACCGAAGTCATCCACAGTTTGATGAGCTCGCTAAGCACCTAATGCTAGTTTGTGCCGAGCACTCAAACTTAATTGTATTGAATTATGTTCTTTGATAATATTTGGGAATTTCAAGTGAAAATTATTTTGTTAGAAATTAGACTCTTGCTTCGATATTTCTTTATTCCATAAAAATTTGGCATAGGTGGATCGACTCATTTCTATTTCATACCTAGGCCATAGAAGTAATAATTTACGTAACAATTTCTGACCTTAATTTGCAAACGTTTTATAAGAAATACTCTGTGACTGGTTTTAAAAAGGTTTATTCTCGTACCTTAATAATTCCTTTGACTATAGATTATAAAAAATAGATAAATAAATTAATTCATATGCCTTTCAATAAGTTAATAGTGCGTATAGTTGGTATAATTCGCCATGCATATCGTAGCCTGTTCATATATCTTTTCATGCCTGTTGTGCTCTTTTCTGCTCAATCATTCAGGGAAGTCCTTCTTTAATTAATGACAACTTTTTGCACGACAATCAAATCAAATTGCGTCACTGTGAACAGCTTTAGTTGAGCATAACAGCTGTCATATCCTTGAACCTGATCCTGTGTGTGTGTGTGTGTGTTAGGCACGCGCTATGCATTAGTTGCAAACACTTTTCATTTCATTTTCATTTTCAGTTAGCGTCAGTAGCGCATAAATACAAATCTAGGCGGCATTTTGGCTATTTGTCTGACTCGGGCTTAAGTCGTAACTCCCAGTCGCTGGGATCAGCTTATTTAATATAATAATTCGTATATCCCTGACGATGGCCCTTAATAAAATACACAGACGCCACGTTAAGCCAAAATATGACATTCATCAAATATTTCTGCTCTGGCTATGGCAAATCAATAGGCAAATCGGCAGTGGGCATATGAAAATCTTCCAACGCGATGCAAAAATTGTGAAAATGTGAAAATCTATTTCCCCATAAAACAAAATAAGGCAGCAGCAGACGCATGTAAAATAAATACGAACATTGTTTTTGCTCGCTGGCAAAGTTTGTATTTTCGTTTTTTTTTCTTTTTTTATTGAACGCTTTTCATTTTTTTATACCCTATAAGTTCACAAATTACTTTAAAATACTTTCGAGCGCTTCAATTTATGTGCGATATTCGAGAGTTGAGCCAAATTTTTGCCATTTGATTTAGGTTTATGTGGAAATAGAATAGAGATCGGAATTTATAAAGTTTGGGGCCACAAGCATTCTGCTTGAAACTTTTTACAGTTTTTTCTTTTATTAATAGATTTAAATTATAAAATAAAGATTTTACAAGAAAATTAAAGTCTAAAATCTTGAGCTAGGGCAAGAGACACTTTTGAAAATTATTCAGATTAAATAAAAAAAAAATTTGTCGAACTAATATGGATCCAAAGATTTAAGTTTTCTTATTCAATTATTTATTTTAATAAATTATATAAATTATGTTTAGTTACAAATTAAGCTAATTTGATTGCTATTATTATGAATTATAAATTAATTGCTCTAAGCCCGCATAAAACCTCAAGATGTAATATGATATATAGCATATAATATGAAGAATAGATCGAATCGAATTAAATAGTTTCGTCTACAAATTTAATTAAATTTTTTTAATTGATGAAAATTTAAATCATATTTTATATTAATATACTATAAAAATTTCTACCAATTCAGATTTTAATTTAATAATTCATATTAGCATTTATATGTAGAGCCTGCAAACTCTTCCCTTTGATATACCTATTATATATCCTTGTATACTTACCCAAGCTGAGATAGAAGACCAGACCTGATAGAAGCAAAACAATTGTCATGAAGCAAATGCCAGCTGCTATGCTCCGTCCATAAACCATTTTGAAGACTATATTTTATGCTAAACGGTGGGTTTTTATCTATTTTTTTTTTTTGTCTAGTTAATTATTTGACTGGCATTGTTTTGGCTGGGTCTGGGCGGAGTTCACATTTTGTACAATTCGTAGGGGTTCGGCCAGGGCCCACTCTGTGCGGTTTCACGCGGGTTTTACTGCAGTCTTTGACACTTCATTTAGCTAATGGAAATTTGCATAGATGTTGCCTGTAAATTTTATATAGGAACTTCAATATTTTCCGCTTGAGCGTAGTAGTAGTTGGTAAATATATTAAGAATTTGACGGGGTGCCGTCTACCAAGCTGATTTCTTAATCTTCTTTAATCTCATCTTAATGAAAGAGCCTTTGTTACTTGCGATTTTCTAATTGAAGCTTAATACTTCTTTCCAATCAATTGAATTTAATGAAAATTTTATTTAGCTGGCGAAATTTGTTAATCCGATTGGTCTTTGCGAAATAATTGTGTCATTTACCAACGATATTTGTTCACATTTTATAGCAATTTATTTGCTGTGTGCTTGAATAAAAAACGAAAAGAAAAGGAAAAGTGTGCGGAAGGCAGCGATACTTAAACATAAAGAAAAGCATATATCATCAAATAAAAACATGTCAACAGGCAGTTAAAATATTTACAATTCAGAGAAAACTCTTAAGAAAAAGAACAATTTATGGCTTTGCCAAGCAGATTGAGACTTGTGAGGAACATAAAAAAGTTGAGCATATGAGAAAAATGTAAAGTAGCTGAAAAAAATTCCTTTAGGTTGTTCATTAATTTATACTTAAATTAATATTTTTTTTTAAATATTGTATCCCAATTTTCTAGGCTTTATTTATCTTCTTTAGTATCACTTGGTTCGTTTCATTAAATTATTTTAAGAAAAAATAAGTAAAGAGAAATGTTGTCCGCTTTATCAATAGGCGCAAGGCGCCTATATAGACAGGTCATAATTTCCGCAAAAGGTCGACATTCGGCCCAAATGTATGCCAAAATGTTGCCTCATTATCTCAATCATCGCAATTGAACAGCATTTGGTGTAGAAAGTGTCGTAAAAACGTAAGATTTTTCTTTATTTGAATGCGTGTGTGTCTCTGCCTCTCGTTGTGCTTTTCCTTAGCTTATTATATGTATGTTGGGCTTGTCTTCTTTTTTATATATATTTTTTTTGTTGCCTGTGGCCACTTAATGCTCTTGACCAACCCAAAACGCACATTTCAAGATGGTGTCAATGCGATAGAAGCCCGAAAAAAAGAAAACGCGAGACACCCTGCCGGGCAACAATTCAATTGAGCGGCAAAGCACGCAATGCAAGCTGTCGGCGCGTTTTAAAACGCGTGCGAAACGCGCGAGCGATTGTTGACGCGTGTCAACTTACAAATAGACAAGACAAGGATAAGACAGGACTAAACAAGTCCGCGCACAGCGGGCAACTGAAACAGACAACAGCAATTGTTGCTGATTTTGTTTAGCCGCGGCTGCGGCTGCTGCTGCTGCTACTGTTGCTGCTGCAACGAAGTCCATGCTTCGTGGCCTGTTCGGTCTATGCTGACCGTCGCGGCACATTCGTATTCTGTATTGTGCAAACAATTGGTGGCAGGAGTTGGTCGTTAGACCAAGATGTGCCAGCAGCATGGGACAAAATACAGCTACATTTAATAATAGAAGAAATTTACTTGTCAGTTTATGCAGAGAGTCCTTCAATATTTGACAGACGCCCCTTTTAACCACTTAACATTAAAAACGAATTCAGCATATTTTTTTTGTTTTCTAGTGTTTAAAGAGCAAACAAAAAAAATATAAAAAAATGTTTTATTTATTAGCTAATAGTTATAATGCAATTAGAATTTGTTCTAAACTTTTGTGTCTTTAGTTTAATTAATAGTTATGTACTTATATATAATAATCATATAGTATGTATATTGCTGTGACATAGCCCTAAGCAACAAAAATGCTTTTGCTATAAAAGTTTTAATTATTGAATATTTCTATAATTATATAAAAGTTGAATGCATTTTGCAAAAAAGCTACAAAATATGCATTAAGTACTAATTGTTTAACACATTTCGCAATTTTCGACTATAGTTAAGCGTTTTCTAAACACTTTCCATGCGGAAATAGTTGACAACAAAGCAATTGCTAATTCGTTCTTTTACTAAAGCTGCGCTAACTGCTAAGTACATATTTAATATTATAATTAGAATTATATTTAGAATGGAATGGGTTATAAATCACTAACAGCACAACTTAAGTGTTGAATCAAGGCGTGTTTTATAGTTGTGTTTAGATACAATTATTGCAACAATTTTCGATTTCTAATGGCGCATGGTGAATGATTGAAATACATTTTATAGACTAGCAACAAGATATGTTCTATTAATTAGGCATATTTCAAAGATTAAAGTTAAACGAATCATTAGTTATAGCACAAAAGATTAAGTACATATAAATTATAAACATAAATTTGTGGGCGGGTGATTATCTTAAAATTCAACTAGTTGAATGAACATTGTAAAAATTTAGCGAAACTTGTTTGTGCACTAATAAATTATTATTGTGGCGATTGTGTCTAAATATCTGTAACAATTAACATTGCTTGAAGAGATCCATAACGTATTTTTGTTTTGATTTAATTATTTTTTTATAAGAAGAAAATATATGCACGTTATCGTTGTAAATTTGTGTCTTTTGCAAATATTGTGATATAGAGTTCTTGCTCTATGCATACTAGATATGTAAAGCATTTCCTCATCTTTTGTTCCCCCAAGTTGCTTGAGTGTAAAAAAATATTTCGTTGCATTTAAATATTACGCTGTTTCTTAGACCCAAACGCCGTGAGGGTTCTTGCTTGTGGGCACAGCCGTCTCCAACTGTCGTGGTGATCCTATTATGCGACGACTACTGCCTTGTTTGTTGGGCCCTTCAAGCAGATGCTTGATCTCCTCGGTGGTGGTTACAGTCAGACTTTGCAGATTCACTTCTTTCATTTCGTTTACAAGTTGCTCTACCTGCCGCTTCTTCTCGGCAATGGCGTGCTCAATCATGAGCAGCTCTTTTTTGAGATTATCAGCCGTTTTATTCGATGTGTCTGTGTTGTGAAGTGCCTGATCAATATCACTTTGTATTCGCTTCATTTCCATAAGAAAGTCACGTTCCACAGTTTGTCTATTTTAATATTAAAAAATGTCACTGAGTTTTCAATTGATCTATTAAATAAGCTTACCTGTTGCTCTGTTGTTGCTGCTCCAGCTCAATGTCGTCCATAAGCAAACGCATTTTGTTCTTGCACTGCAGCAGTTCCGTCTCACAATTGGCCAGCTTGGAGCGTAACAAAGCGATTTCTGACTTTAGTGTCTTCTCCTGCTGTTTGACCAGCTCGTTCTCTTCCTCAACGTACTGTAGTGTTTGCAACTGTTCGCTACCTTGACGAAATATTTGATCCGCCTTGGATATTTCTCTTGAAATAACTTCTAATTCAATCGCATGATCTCGCTCTCTGCTCTCCAGAAAAACTATTTCCGTATCAAACTGTAATTAAAATTATAAATTAATAATCTATGTTTATAGTGAGTTATATTGTCTAGAACCTTTTGCAGCTCTAATTGCTGTGCGGTAATTTTCTCGCGCTGAAACTTGATTAACTGCAATAGATCATTATATTGCGTGGCCTGGAACATGCTCTCGCCATCATCCATGCACTGATTGTTCCCATTGTTATTATTATTGGTGTTGTTGTTGTTATTGTTATTGTGCGGCTCGTAGTCGCTGAGGAATGGATTTGTTGTAGAGGATGTATTTGATATGGTCTCAGCAGCACTGCTGCTGGGTGGCAAGCGTGGCATCTGGCACATGGGACTGTTACGAGGTGGCGGAGGATCACGGTAAGGCGGCGGCACTAGAGCACCATTTGACGAAATTGTGGGCGTTTGCTTGTACAGCTCTGGAGAGTTGTTATTGTTGTTGTTGCTAATGTTGCTATTGACATAAATATCGCATAGATGCTCGTTGCTATTGTTGTTGTTATATTCATTCGGACTAGCGCGTCGCAGTTCATTGCTGGATTTGCTCAGCTGACTGTAAATGTTTTGATTATTATTGTTGTTGCCATTACTATTGTTGTTGTTATTATTATTAAAGAAATCGCTGTAATCATTTGAAGCGTTCGCATTGCTACTACTACTACTCATCTCTAATGGATTCGACAACGATTTCTCATGCTTAGGCAGTAATGGCACCGCTTTGCTTGATGGCAGTAGCAGTGGTTGCTGTTGCTGCGTAAGTTGCTGCTGTAGTTGGTGCTGCTGCTGTGGTATGCCTTTAACTATGCCAATGTTGTCGAATTGTTTGGCATCATAGCCGCTGTAAAAAATAAACACGCGTTAATATTATAGTTGAAAGCTATTAAAAATGCGAGCAAAACTAGTTGAAAATAGCTGAGATTATCAAAGCTTAAGTGGCTATGTGCTAAGTTGTTTTTCTATACGTCGTAGCAAGTTTTAGACACAATTTGGTAAGTGTAGCAACAAGTAGTATTTTTAAAATAATGGATAGTTATCTTTATGATACATTAGTACCACTTTTAAAATACAATTTATATGATGTGGACACCCTGGCATGTAAGATAAAATCAGATCAGTGAACTACCAACTACCAACGATAAAGTTTGAAGCTGATGTCCGAAAAACATTGGTATAATCTCTCTTATTAGGCTCGCTTTAACCTTTTGTTGCTACGCACCCAAAACTTTTTTTCAGCTCTTTTGTTCGATAGCCCAGCTCTACACTTGACTTTTGTTTTTGCAATGTGGGCGGCGGCGGCAATTTGCTCTCAATACAATTGTTGTTGTTATTGCTGGGGCCAAGCGGCTTTTTAGTAGTCATGACTGCATAATTGCTATTAGGCTGCTGCTGCTGCTGAAGTTGTTGCTGCTGTTGTGGTTGCTGCTGTTGTTGTTGCTGCTGTGGTGTGGGCAGTTGCTGCTGCTGTTGCTTGTTCTCGGATCGCTGCAATATAAATTGCACATCATTTGCATACTCGCCCCATTTTAACAACAGCTTCATCGGATTCTCATTTGGTGCCAGATGTCGCTCATTATTACGCCAGCGTTCGATTAGCGTAAAGCGACCCACTTTGCCTGTGGCATGAGCCAAGGCAAAAACGACATCCTGCAAAAAGATATATATATTAGATAAAGTAGCTGACGTATATGTAATATACAAGGAAACTCAATTGTCACCGATCTAATACCCTTGCATTTCAATACGTTAATAAAGAATTTGTCAACATGGACTATAAGCTGAGCGACTAGCTTTTCAATAAGCAGACAGGCTGTCAAGCCATATTTGTGTAGTAAATAAATTTTCACATTGCTTGATCCTAATAAATTGCGCTTTTGCAAGGGTATTAAAATCAATATCAATTCATACGCACCTGACAGGTAGTATTTACCGTTACACCACAAACAATACGCTGTATGCCCTCAACCCAAACTTTCAGCTCCATTTTGTATGTACGGAATTAATTAATTTTTGTTTTCGATTTTTTGTTGTTCTTGTTGCTGCTGCCAGAAAATTGCTACTAAAGTGGAGTCTAATTATTTCCAAACGCAACGCAGCGCCGACGAAGCTTGAAATGCTGTCGCGAGGGCAGCGAAGCGTGCGCTTCGTTGTTGTTGTTGTTGTTGTTGTTGTTGTTGCTGTTGTTTTATTGTTGATAGAGCTTCGCCATGGCTCGAATGTGGCTGTTGTTGCTGCTGCTGCTGCTGCAGTACCAAATTGGGGGTGGAGCTGCACTTCCACTTTTGCTTCTCGTTGTCACGTTTGTTCCCTTTCTTTCTGCTTTGCTGCAGCTATTTTTCCCCAATTGCTTCTGCTGTCTGTTTGTGGCCGTCTCTGCTGCTTCACTTGCACTTATTTCTGGTTTCAGAGCGAGCGGGTGTTACGGGTTGCAGGTGTATGTATGTGTGTGCTAGTATACGCTTTGCTTTGTGTATGTGTGCGAGTGTTCTGATTCACTTTTTGTTTGCTTTTCGCTGATTAATACTGTTGTCTTGTAGCACACATTATTACTCCCTTTTATATGCACTTTACAGCCACTTTGCATATAGTGTACACGCACGATTTATATAATTTCTATAGTTATTTTAAAGCGAAAAACAAATGCACAATGCGCGCATTGTTGTTGGCATGCACTTGTACTCGATGCCCGTAACAGGGCTACACTGGCAGTAAAACCAGGGCGGACAAGTATGCTTATTGTGATATATACGATATCTGCTTGGCGCGCATTCAAATTATATATGATAATTATATACGTATTCAAAATATTAGAAAATTATATAAGCTTTTCAGTAAACACTTAAATAAATGTCATGTTCATGAGATTTATTGCTAAATAAATAAATAAATAATTGGTACGTCACATAATAAAAAGCGATTGCGCTGCACGGCCAGTGTATGCATACCATTTATAATTTCTAACTGCTTATCGATAGCTATCGATATTTATTTGATTGGATACTGTATATCGATAGAATATCAACAATCCACTTCGCGAGTTGAACGAAAACAATTGCAACTAGCGCAGTAACAGCCCAGCACTTGTAAAAGAAGATAGTTTTCACCCAATTTATATTGATTTAGTGTGTGTCACAATTAATACAAAAAATACTCAGTGCAGTTCTTTCTGTGGGAACAACGACAACAATTGTTGCTCCCTCTGGGGCCAAGTGTTTCCACATCGTCTACCACCTTGTGCGTGTGTTCGTGTGTGTATTGTGTGCTAGTGTGGATCAGCAAAAAATGGCCAGTGAATGTTACACAGCTGCACAAACATGAACTCGAGTTAGACCAACCAGATATAGCATCTGTTTTTGGGAGCAGACGTATATACTAAGTATAACGCGTTTAATTTCGGGGCGCAGCGGCCACAGCTGCTGCTCAGTTACGCTGCGTGTAAACAAAACAAAAGTCAAGAAGTGAAGCAGCGTGATCCAAATTAACAACAGCAACAGCACTAACAACAACAACACTTATCACAATGACCAGTCGCAGTCGAGCTATATTAAATGTTAATCTCGATACGGTCATGGCCAACGATCCGTTGCGTGAGCTTTTCGAGGCCTGTAAAACAGGTGAAATAGCCAAAGTGAAGAAGCTGATAACGCCACAAACGGTTAATGCACGCGACACAGCGGGGCGTAAATCGACGCCATTGCACTTTGCAGCGGGTGAGTAGCAGAAATCCTTTGGAGACACTGGGTGTGTGCTCCCAGTCAGACGCTCTAAGTGCTCCCAAGGACTACTTGACTAACAGTTGCCGAAACAGTGTTGCGCAGTTGCGCTTTTTCCGCCTCCCGTCAAATTTGGCCATTTTCTTGTTGCATGTCTTCGCTTTCAGCGGGAATTTTAGCCATTTTAACATAATCATTGTAGACTTCCTAAACTTTTAGCGTTATATCGGTTGAAAATGAGTTTATTATCTGGTTTAAATTAGGCTTAGGTTTATTTATGGATACGCTGTGCCAACCCCCATCCTCATTGATTCACATTTATGCGCTTGCTGCTGCTGCAATTCTGGCCTTGATCTAGTTTTGGTTGCTGTGACGAGCGTCATTGTTGCCTGGCTAAAAGTTAGTTCGCCGCCCGACACCTACACCCCCGCCTACAAACGTCCTCTTCGCCTACAAATGCGCCGTGGCCCTGCGCACGCTCAGCTCGCAGAGTTGACCTACTTTTCGGTTGGTTTGAGTTCGTTTCCGGAACCCTCGACGACCGTCCAGCATTGGCTATGTGTTGCATTTGGCATTTGTCCCAGGCAACATGTTTTGCTATTTTTCGTCTGGTCAACATCCTGCTGACGTCGTTTGCATCTGCTTTCATATTGGCCTTGTCTACGCACTCTTTTGAAGCTCAGTGGCTCAAATCGCATGAAACTTAAATAACGAATTTCACTTTTTGCTCTGTTGACTCGCATGTCACGCCCAAACGCACGCAGTTCAACCGCCGCCCCAACTCCTTAACTAATTAAAAAATACCTTTGGTCGCTTTTGGAAAGGGGCGTGGGCGGCAGACGTAGGTGGGGGAGCGGTACTTGTGAGTTTCACGCCCTTTGCATATCAATTTTTGCGGTGGCTCTTTTCTTTTTAATACCCTGCCAATGGCTATGTCAACGTGACCATTGCTGATGGTATTTTTTTTATAAGAAAATATTTTTTTAAAATAAAATAATATTTATAAATTAGCCATTGACTAGTTCCGAGCCTAATCTATCACAATTTATGCATTTAAAAATAATATATAAAATAGTTTTCTTTGATCTTAGCAAACTAGAAAAAGTAAAAGACAAATTTTTATTATAATTTTTTTAAAGGTACTTTTTAGAGTATTTTGAACTTCGTATCGAAACATTTTCCGACTTTTGCTGTCTATGATTCATACTTCGTTTTTTTTTTGTCTTGTTTTATTTTTTAATGCTTAACTGTTTACTGTTTTGACTGTCTCTCTAAACTGGTTTTCCAACCAATTTTTAGCTGGTATTGTTGTTGTCATGTCTTTTGTCACGTTCTGAAGACAGACAAAAAAAGTGAGATCTACAAAAACTGCTATTGACTGAGTTTTCACCTTGTTGCTGGCAGTGCTTAAAGTCTGAGTTAACTAGCAAAAGTAGCTACGCCTCACCCCGCCCCGGCCGCCCAACCCACAACCTGTTGCAAATTGTAACACGTTTTTATACAAATATCAGAGCACACCTTCGCTCAGCCAAGAATTTCATTAATTTAATTTTCTATCCGATTCACTGTTATCTACTATTTATTCGCACAGCTTTCTTGTTTGCAAAGACGATAAGAAACTCGATAATTGTTGCTGACACGTATCCGTTGATAAAGACTCGGGAAGTCTATTTAGACTCGACCTTCTTGGCTAAAGCTAAAAACATGCAAGATTTATAACATTTGCTTTTATTAGTCAGTTAACAATTGTTGCATTAACCTTCACACTTTTTGTTTGGGTTTTTGTTTAATGATAAATTTAGCCAAGCTTTTGCCGCTCAAGGAGCTTCTTTATGACTAAAAGCAGTTCAAACAATACATAACAATCATAATAATAATAGTAACAATAACAATTACAGTAACAGCTGTTGCGTATTGCATTGCCCAACACACATGCAGCAAATAATATTTTCCATTCTATTAATTTTTCATGCAACATTCGAAATTGTTTTGACCAAAATAATAAAGTGAATGGTTAACACCAAGCAAATTTTGCAAAAAGTCTTCAAGGAAGAGTTCGCTTATAAAGTCACTTTTCGCCACGGTTCTCAGTGAGCTCTAAACAATCGATTTATAAATTGACTTCCTGTGTGGCTACCTAATGTTACAAGCGTAGCAGGGAATGCCCCTACTGATCCTCCTATTCCTATTCTTATCTATAATCAGTATTCCTTATCGCAGCTCAACATTTAAATTGCTGTAAAATATTACGATTTATATTCCTTATGATTTTTAAACTCTTTATACATACATAACATTCGAAGTATTCATTTATTTTATATTATATCCCAATCTTATCTCTATACTATATATTGATCTATATATAACTATCTTTCTTGGTGGATGACTAATGTTCTAGGCACACGTATTAGGGGGTGAATAGAATAATTCGAAAAAACCTTGATAAGATTGATGTTTACAAAACAAACAATAAAACAATTTTATTGAAAGTTCAAATTATGGCCAATCTTAACTATGATATCGAAACAGAACTGTTGTATAGAATACTAACTTCAAGTGTAGTACATACTACGATAACACACTTGATATGCCTTATATCTAGTCTTATATATCGAAAATATCTATTATGATTTCTCAATTCTTTCTTTAAACAGACAACAACTAAACTTCATTATATTTAATGTTGCCGCAGTTTTATTAGCTTTTTAAGCTAACCTTTACCTTTGCACTGCCTAAGGTTCTTGGCTAGATCAAAGAGAACGTGTTTATACAGATGTGGCGCGGGGGGTGGCTTTATTTGTTGACAGCTTTCTTTGGCTCTGCGCTGGATTCTCATTTTGTCTTTTTGTTATCCAAACAATAACCTAGACTAAGATTTATGACGGCCCCAAGGTTGCGGACTGCGTTGAGCTCAACGGGCATGTTGTGGCGGGGGTAGAAACAGTTGGGAATCTGTTAGACGCGAAGGTCTCAACCCTCCAGCAAGTGCAGAGACAAAACAAATGACAGTTAGTTAACCATGCCAGCCACTTTTAGGGCTTTCTGCCAGCTCAGGCTTAGCATTGGTTCTTATATGATACACTGACTTTCCCTTCTCCTCTTCTTCTTCTTCCTCTTCTATTGCAGGTTATGGCCGACGCGAGGTAGTTGAGTTTCTGCTGAACAGCGGCGCTTCCATACAGGCCTGCGATGAGGGTGGACTGCATCCGCTGCACAATTGCTGCTCCTTCGGACATGCGGAGGTGGTGCGCCTGCTGCTGAAGGCCGGCGCCAGCCCGAACACCACCGACAACTGGAACTATACGCCGCTGCACGAGGCGGCCAGCAAGGGCAAAGTGGATGTGTGCTTGGCACTGCTGCAGCATGGCGCCAATCATACCATACGCAATTCGGAGCAAAAGACTCCGCTGGAACTGGCCGACGATGCCACACGGCCAGTGCTAACGGGCGAGTATCGCAAGGATGAGCTACTCGAGGCGGCACGCTCAGGTGCTGAGGATCGTCTGCTCGCACTGCTGACACCGCTCAATGTCAATTGTCATGCGAGCGATGGACGTCGCTCGACGCCGCTGCATCTGGCCGCGGGCTACAATCGCATTGGCATTGTCGAGATACTCCTGGCCAATGGTGCCGATGTGCATGCCAAGGATAAGGGCGGACTGGTGCCGCTACACAATGCCTGCTCCTACGGCCACTTCGATGTTACCAAGCTACTCATCCAGGCGGGCGCCAATGTCAATGCCAACGATCTGTGGGCATTCACACCGCTGCACGAGGCCGCTTCCAAGAGCCGCGTGGAGGTGTGCAGCCTGCTGCTAAGTCGCGGTGCCGATCCAACGCTCCTCAACTGCCACAACAAATCGGCCATTGATGCGGCCCCAACGCGCGAGTTACGCGATCGTATTGCCTGTAAGTGTTCCTTGTGCATATAAGAGAAAGAATTTGAGCTTCATATCAATCATGGCAGAGCTAGCATATGACTAAAGCTTTCTTTTGGTATTAAAAATAATTTAAGATTATTCACGCTCTTATTAATGTGATCAATTTAGTAATTTCTACTTTATGGTTCTGTTGCAGTTGAATATAAAGGACACTGTCTGCTTGACGCATGCCGCAAATGCGATTTGTCGCGTGTAAAGAAGCTGGTGTGTGCCGAAATTATTAACTTTGTGCATCCGTACACAGGAGACACGCCGCTGCATCTGGCTGCCGTTTGTCAGGATGCGAAACGCAAACAGCTGGTGGAGCTGCTGACACGCAAGGGATCGCTGCTCAATGAGAAAAACAAGGCATTCCTCACGCCTTTGCATCTGGCCTCGGAGCTGATGCACTACGATGCGATGGAGGCGCTGCTAAAGCAGGGCGCCAAGGTGAACGCTCTGGACAGCCTGGGCCAGACGGCGCTGCACCGTTGTGCACGCGATGAGCAGGCAGTGCGTTTGCTTCTTTCCTATGCGGTGGACACAAACATTGTGTCGCTGGAAGGTCTGACAGCGTCACAGCTGGCCTCGGACAGCGTGCTGAAGCTGCTCAAGAATCCGCCAGACAGCGAGTCCCATCTGCTAGAGGCAGCCAAGGCAGGCGACTTGGATGCAGTGCGTCGCATTGTGTTGAACAATCCTCATACGGTCAACTGCAGAGATCTGGATGGACGCCACTCAACGCCGTTGCATTTTGCCGCTGGGTTTAATCGCGTTCCAGTCGTGCAATTCCTGCTGGAGCATGGCGCTGAGGTCTATGCTGCAGACAAAGGTGGACTTGTTCCACTGCACAATGCCTGCTCGTACGGCCACTACGAAGTCACCGAGCTGCTCGTCAAGCACGGCGCCAATGTCAATGTCTCCGATTTGTGGAAGTTCACGCCGCTGCACGAGGCAGCCGCCAAGGGCAAATATGATATATGCAAGCTGCTGCTAAAACATGGTGCAGATCCTATGAAAAAAAATCGTGACGGTGCCACGCCCGCTGATCTCGTCAAGGACTCAGATCACGATGTGGCGGAGCTCCTGCGCGGACCTTCAGCCCTGCTAGATGCGGCCAAAAAGGGGAATTTGGCACGAGTGCAGCGACTCGTTACAACGGAGACGATCAATTGCCGGGATTTGAATGGTCGAAACTCCACGCCGCTGCATCTGGCCGCGGGCTACAACAATTTTGAGTGCGCCGAATATCTGCTGGAGCATGGCGCAGATGTCAATGCCCAGGATAAGGGCGGACTCATACCCCTACACAATGCCAGCTCCTATGGCCATTTGGATATTGCTGCTCTACTCATCAAGCACAAAACGGTGGTCAATGCCACAGATAAATGGGGTTTTACGCCGCTGCACGAGGCCGCGCAGAAGGGACGCACGCAGCTATGTTCGTTGCTCTTGGCCCATGGCGCCGATGCCTACATGAAGAACCAGGAAGGGCAAACACCCATAGAACTGGCCACAGCCGATGACGTCAAATGTCTGCTGCAGGATGCCATGGCCACTTCACTCAGTCAGCAAGCGCTCAATGCTTCTACGCAATCCCTGGGAAGCACTTCACCGGCACCAGATGCAGCATTAGCTGCCAACTCAGCTGCAGCTGCATCGTCTGCAATACCATGTGCTGCATCTTCATCGGCAGCTGCTTTGCTCTCACCCACCACGGAGATAGTTTTACTGCCCTCGGGCGCTTCCATGACGCTCAGTGTGCCAGTGCCATTGCCTCTGAATAGCTGTGCGACACGACTCAGTCCGGCTCAAGGCGCTGAAGCGAATGGCGCGGAGAACTCGGGCAGTGAAGAACTCTTGTCCGATCCGGAGTCAATAACAAATGTATCCGGTTTCTTGAGCAGCCAGCAGCTGCATCATCTGATCGAGCTGTTTGAACGCGAACAAATCACGCTGGATATACTGGCCGAAATGGGTCATGATGATCTCAAGCAAGTGGGCGTGTCTGCCTACGGTTTCCGACACAAGATACTCAAGGGCATTGCCCAACTGCGAGCAACAACGGGTAAGTGGCTAATGTCTTTACCACCTCCTATTTGCTCAAATGTAATCTCTTGACAGGCATTGGCAACAATGTTAATCTGTGCACGCTGCTGGTGGATCTTTTGCCGGATGACAAGGAGTTCATCGCTGTCGAGGAGGAGATGCAAGCCACCATTCGCGAGCATCGGGACAATGGACAAGCTGGCGGTTATTTCATACGCTATCACATAGTTAGGGTATGCTTTCAATAACAAACGCCTCGCTAGGTTTTATTAACCATTTCAAATTGTAGGTCCAAAAGGTACAGAATCGTAAGTTGTGGGAACGTTATGCGCATCGACGTCAGGAGATTGCCGAGGAAAACTTTTTACAGTCAAATGAGCGCATGCTCTTCCATGGCAGCCCCTTCATAAATGCCATTGTGCAGCGCGGCTTTGATGAGCGACACGCCTACATAGGCGGCATGTTTGGTGCGGGCATTTATTTTGCCGAGCATAGCTCGAAGAGCAATCAATACGTCTATGGCATAGGCGGCGGCATCGGCTGTCCATCGCACAAGGACAAGTCGTGCTATGCATGTCCCAGGTAATGTTTAAGCAATAGTCGTTTGGGGATCTCTTACTGAGAAATTGTTGTTTCTTTTAGACAATTGCTGCTGTGTCGTGTTGCCTTGGGCAAATCCTTTTTGCAATACAGCGCCATGAAGATGGCACACGCACCGCCCGGCCATCACTCGGTGGTTGGGCGTCCGTCGGCAGGCGGCCTACACTTTGCTGAATACGTTGTCTATCGTGGCGAACAAGTGAGCTTTAGATGAGTTATACTTCCTCATAACAGTTTCACTAACTACTCTTACTTTGCAGTCTTATCCAGAGTACTTGATAACCTATCAAATTGTGAAGCCCGATGATAGCGGCGTGGAGGAAACAAGATGATGGATGCCCTCGGTTGGCTCGACGCCCACAACAACATTGCCAACATTGGCAACAGCGCAACAGCAACCACAACAGACCTCAGCCACAGTCAAAGCCACCGCCACAGCCACAGTAACACTTACAGCACCAGCTCCAGCTCCAGTTGCCAAACGGCGCCAAAAGCTCGTCCAAAAATATCAACAGCCCGTGCCGCGCTTACCGTTGTCATTGCAGTTACAGTATCAGCATTATCAGCCGCAGCAGATGCAGCCGCTGCCCTTGCCGCCACCGCAGCCGATGGTGACCACCACGCAGCCGGCACCTGCAGGCGTTTTTAGCACGCACAACAACAACGTAAACCATAGTTATAGCAATAATAACGATAACAACAACAGCGGCAGCGCCAGCGGCGGTGGGGGCAGCAACAGTAATAACAACAACAATGATATGTCCCCCATATCGAATAGCAATAGCTACTCCTCGGTTGATACAAATCAAACACTATTGAACTCCATTGCCAATCAGCGAAGTGGCGGCACCACTCAGAGTCACAGTCAACATCGTCCGGCGACGAGCCACAACCGTAAATATAGTCAATTCATGATCATCACGCCCGCCGTTTCCATTGATCGCGATTTTGAGTACGAATCGCACTTGGATTTCGAGGACTTTGCCAATGCAGCGCACAACAACGGCAATCTGTTCCGTTTGGGTCTGCGGCGTAGCGACAGCAGCAGCGGCGATGACAGCGGCAACAGCAGCGACAACAGCTTTCGTTCCAACTATAATCCATATGTGCATCACAGTCGTCAGCCCTTGCTGGCCAAAAAGGCCCACAACAGTAGTGGGTCACATCAGTTTTATGCGTTCTCCAGCTGGCGCTGGTGCACACTGTTGTGCGCGGCAATGCGCTGTTTTGGCGCTGGCCATGGCAACCAGGCGCCCTACAGCAGCTCCTTTGTGCCGCACCATCGTTTACGACGCTGCAGCTCCTACAATGCGGATATCGCCTATGATTACGAGCATTTTGCGGCGCCGTTTAAAGCGCGTAAAACTCGCGATCATATGAATAATATTACGTATGAGTTGTGACGTTGGCCGCTGCCAATAATCGTTATTATGCATTTTGATCTCTGTGTCGTCGTTGTATTTGTTGATCTTATCCTACAATTTCAGCTCCTTAGACTTTTTATTACAAATTATCATTATTAGCTATAAATGTCGTGTACTGTGTGTCGTCGTTTATTCTAGCTACAATTCTGATTATCAAATGAAAACAACATCAGCAACTAAAAGAGCAGCACATTTTTGAGTGATTTTAATTCGAACTTACGAGTAATTAATAATACTATATAAAAATAACGATTATGCGAAAGAAAACAATTACGAAAATGAAAATGAGTATGCATAAAGCACGCGCGTTTACTTAAGTATTTAAATTTAGCTAATTAATTAAAAAAATAATGACAACAATTCAAACTCCAATTACATTTAAATATACAATATATATATACAAAATAAAACCTACAGTACTTTAATCTCAATTTTAAATGTTGCGCCAATTAAATGCGTAGCAGCGAGCTTCGAGTTGGCCAGTAAAGTTGACGGCACTCTTGCTGGAAAAAGAAAATGATTTTTTTTTAGATACTTTTAATTCAGGTTTAAAGTTACCTCAGTAGCGTAAACAAATGACAGAATTCAAAGTAGTAAAATGTGTATATATAATATCTATACATTTATAATTTTTAAATTCTCGTCTTATAAATGTGTAGCAGTGAATTTAAAATTATCACATGACGTTGGCAACTCGGACAGTATGGCTTCCAAAGCTGATTACTATAACACTCAATGCTGCGCTGCCTGCGTTGCAGGCAGTTGGCGTAATTTGCAACTGTCAAACCGCTGTCAAGTTTAAGTGCGCCCACAAAAATGTTTCAAGTTGGCGAGCGAAGTTTCTTAAGAATAATGATGATGAATGCTAAAATACGCAAATATCTTTCTTTTGGCCACGCACACATAATAACATTTCACTGTCAAAATGCGGCACTTAATGTTGTGGTCTTCGTTTTTCACTCTTCTTTCTTATTCGTTTTTGGCTTTTATTTTTGGTAACATATGCAAGTAATTTGATTAAATTATATAATTACAGGGCAGCAGGCAGCAGAGAGGCGGCTTGCTGGTCAGATGAGACACACACAGACGTTGTTTGCGACACTCACTGCAGGCCGGGACTTGTGCAATTTGTATTTTCGCATAACAACAAATAAGCACCAGGCACGACCTACATCAGGTGACGTTTTAATGTTGCACAGCACTTAACACACACACATACACTCGCACACAGGTGGCAGCTGTGCACATTCCCATAATATCAATAAGCCCGGCCGAATCGTCAGCTTGCCCAGCTACTACAACGTTCCATTGCATGGCTGTAATTTAATTAAAATATAGACACATTAATAATCAAATGCGGGTAAATGATGCGCCTGCGGGGTTGGCCACAAATTGGCGTCACATTTACGTTAACTCCAGCATAGCCACACACACACACACGCACTAAAAAAGGTTTATCGTTGGTTTTATTCAATTTGGCATGTATAATATATATGTATATCTATATATATACATAATATAGGATAGGCCCAGTCTAGTTTTAAAATTAGTTAAAATTACATTTGTATTATTTTTGGTTTGCCTTAATCGTCATTAGGTCTCTCTGCTAATCTTCCTCTTCGTCCGTGCTGCTGATTTCCAGGGATTTGAGCTTCTGCAGCTGACATTGCTCGTTCGCAATGGACGCTTGGACTAGTTCGCGCGTGAATTTTTCTATCAGCCGCATGGACATTGCATGAGGCAGCTCGTTTAGCGAATGCGAAACAAATTCACCGAAAGCTCGAAACTTTGCATATGTGGTTGAAGCAGCTGTCGTCGCTGTGGCAACTGATGCTGCCACAGTTGTAGTTGCTGCTGCTGTCGCTGTAGTTGCTGCTGCACATGTTTGACCTTCTTCTAAACGTCGTTTAGCTGGTGGCGCGTCCTCTTCCAACGCCAGCGGCGAACGCTTCGGCTTAGCCACGCGCAACAACTGCTCCGGCTGGCGACAATTGGATGCTTGCTGCTGCGCTGCTTTGTCACTTAGTATGTTGCTATTGTTGTTGCAGCTGTTGCTGCTGATGCCATTTATGGGCGTGCTGCTGTTCGGTATGCTGCAATAGATATACCATAAATATTAATATCATACAGAAAGCTAGCTGCTGCACTCACCTGAGCATCGTGGTCACCGGCAGCTGTCCATCGCAGTCAAAATCCTCCATATCTTCATAGTCAGCATCCAGTTCATGTTTGATGCATTTGGGTGGCTCATTGCTTTCGCTGTTCACATCATCCACATCGAAGGGTTCCTCATCGTCCTCATCTTCGGGCTGCCCGTCCAGCGATTTGCATTGCGTCTTATACGAGCGTCTGGTACGTATGTGGTCCGAGAGGAAACTCAGATTATCATACAAAGGCCACTGGCTAGCTGAATTGGGCAGCGCATTGTTTTCCACGCGTCGCTTCTCAATATTATACCGATTACGCAGCGTAATCATACGATCGCGTAATATGGAAACTATACAAAGTTACTCAGAATTATTTACAATTCCACATTTTCTATATATTTACAAATACGTACCATCATAGCCCAGTTTGTGAGAGATTTGCATCCATAGCTGGGCAACGTGTATCTTATCCTTGAATCGCTTATTCGATCGATCGTAAAGCGCTGGGCGCGAACGATATTCACGTATCAGACCCAAATCGAATTCACCGGTCTGTGCGTAGGAGGCGCGTGGACGACCTCGACCCTTGGGCTGATGGACAGGCAGCGATGTGATCTGCGCCTGCAGCAGCGGGGACAAGGTACTCTCCATTTTCACGTTCAATTCCACCTGTGTTTTCATTTCCGTTCAAATTAAAAATAAAAAATGTTGGCTTTTTTATATTAAAAAAAATATTTATAATTGGTTTTAACACTCTCTTCGCTAGCAAGAGACAGTGCATAAATAAAACTCAAACGCAGAGTGAAATAACAAAAAAAGAAAAAAAAATATGAAAAAAAAATTTATAAATAAAAAATATTTAGATGGTGTATAGCGCACTATTTGTATTAGTGTGTGTATATACAGATATATGTTTGTGTATTAAATATGTTTACAAATATGCGTTTGCTCTCTCGCGTTAAACTTACTTTTGATTTGTTCACGAAATATATTTTTCTTTTAACTCAATTTGTTTTTATATTTAACACACAGCAACAGCGAAAACAACAACAACAATAAAAAAAATAACGAACGCACACACAACAGGCGGGCGAGCGCGATTGCTCGTCTTGTTGTTGTTTTTTATTTTATTTTATTTTTTTATTTCACTAGAAACGACGACGACGCCGACGCCGACGCTAGTCACAAAAATACACTAAATGCGCATCATAAAACAAATGGCGCAAAAATACCAAAAATAAATACTCATAACAGCTGATCGATGGCGCGCTGTATTTAAATTATATGAGCGCTACTATTCAAAAGTTAACAGCTATTTAAAATGTCCCGTATTAAAGACTAAGAATTGATTACATTTAACATTATTTCGTTAAGCTAATTAATATATTTTCAAATCCTTGAATTCTGATCGTTTTAAATATATATTGTACGTGAACTTAATTTATTTTTTAATTTTATAATTTAATAATTGGGGCAGTTGAATATAAGTAATTGAACTTCTAATGAAAACTTGGCATTTCATAACCAGTTTAAAATAAGCGTCAATTACTTATATTATAATTGTTTTATTAAGTTCGATATCCTTTAATAATACTGTTTAAAAAACTCACCGGATTTTCCATGCTTATAGGACACAACTGTACCCAGTTTGTTCACAATTTTCAGAGCTGCAATGGTACGAAAAATTGATATTGTGAAATTCGAATCTTGAATTATTAACAACAAAAAAATTAGATTTTTTAAAATTGTAAATATTTCTCACGATTAATATAACTTAACATACTAGGTTATATATATTTTTTTATATTTAAACTTAAGACAGCTGCCTAGTTACGAAATATATACGTACATATGTATATAAATTATAAAATATTAGATCATTTTGATGTGGAATAAACCGCTCATAGGCCGGGACAAGTGCAATGTTTGAATCAAAAGGCAAAACGTTGACACCTTCCCGTCCTGCAAGCAATTTATGATAAAGGTATTGCAGATCTGATTTTTTTATTTTTTGTAATATACATATATAGTTTTCTGGTGTAGAATTTCACAAGTGCCCCTAAATTTGAGAACAGAATTACAATATAATTATGTTTGCTCTGAGAAATAAAATTAAAAACAGGTAGACAAAGGCAGATCAGTGCCTAAAAATCTCATATTTCAAAAATAAACAAGAAAATAAAAAAATAATTTCATATTAAATTTCCGCCCCTACTTGAACAGAAGAACTTTATTCCCCCGCCCTCTTCTCGTTTTCGGATTGGTTTTGGAACATCTTTGTGCGGGCGCGAGAACAATGGATCCGAGCGAATCGGCTAAGGATCAGAGAGCTGAGCTCTGCTCATGAGAGCGAAACTAAAGTACCTTTTGCCTAGCAGGTAAAATTAAACGCTGCAAATCAAGCGTTAAATGCCATTTACTTACGCCTCAAGGCATTTAAGCTATATACGCTATTTTATGGCATATATAGATGTTATGGCATATGTAGATGTATGTATATGCTCTATATACTAGAGTTTTATGCGATGCTGTTGGGTCCATTAACAGTTGGCTAACATCGACAAATTTTGAAATCCAAAGCGTGACAAAATTCGTAGAAAAACGATGGAGGCTTCAAAGAGCGGGCAATTATGAATTATGTGAGCTCCTCTGCGCTGAACGGAATTGCCAGCAGAACAAAAATCAAAGTTCTCTGAGCACTTCATACACCACACATACAGATGTACTTCAGTTGATGTGTGTGGAACTTGAGACGTAGCAGCGACAATTTTTTTCTCTCCTGTTTTTTGTGGCTCTCAGCGTATTTCTATGTTGCTTATCTGTGGCGTAAAAAAGGGGGGAGCTCAGAGCTGGCTTGCGCATATTTGTTTATATGATCGCAGTCGAGTATTAGCTTTAAGTTTAATGACACACACACTCACACGCACACACTTTGAAAATTTATCCCCTCTCAAGACGAAGAAGAAAAAAATAAACGAACGCTGCAATAAATTTATATTTATTTATTTTTCTTAGGCAAATACGCCCCCTACAAGCCAGCAACAATATCAACAACAACAGCTCCAAGTGGAGCTGCCCGAATTCGTGCTCAAGACTTCGGCTGCCCCATTGAGGAATTGTAAGGCAGCCGGCCCAGAACGACCAATAATAACGGAAAGCGGAAACGCAAATAGTCGCGCGAAAAAAAAAGAATAAGAGAAAGAAAGATAGAGTGGGAAGGGGAAACCCAGAACGCCACATAAATTTGAAATAACTAATAATTCATTGAAAAGGCTAGCAATGCGGATCATGTAATAATATTTGCTTAAGCAAACAGCTGACAAGACTTTAACAACGAACCAAAGACTGCGGCCGGCGTGATGAGCCAGGCCAACATGTAGCATACAACAAACCACTAGAGATGGCAGCTGTAGCTTTTTTCTTAAGTTTAAATGGGGATTTAGCAAATATTTGAGTAAAGACAGGGAATTTCTTAAGTTCTGCTTATATATAAATAAATAAAAAATATGTTAGTAATATAGTAAATATTAATAGTAAAAAGTCTCAAAATTACTTAAACGCATAAATAACCTTATAATTTGCTAGCCAAAACTAGCTTTTTTAGCTGTTCAACGCTGCCAAGTCAACCCACCACTAGCTAAGGCAATGAACGCGCTAATGCAGCAAACACTTCGCCTACAATCAATGGTGAGTGGCAATAGTGTAAGAGAGGAAGAGGAAGAGGAAAAGCGTAAGCATTATGTGAATGAGTTGCCAACAGCATCATAAAGTAACCAGTGTTGCCAACTAGTTTCGATGTTATGCGAAGAGCAGCAGAAACAGATGGAACTTGATTTCAAAGATGCATGAACAATTGTTATAGTTTGGGCCATATATAGGTGAAAAATAAGTGCTTAAGAAAGCAAGTTAAATATACGTAGATAGAAATAAAGGGCTTCTATAGATAGCTATTAATAAGACTAAATATAACTATAAAATGTTATAGTAGACTATTAAAATTATATAAAAAATTAAAAACAAGTAACGTTTCTAATAACCTTCAAATGAGCTTTGAAAATAATATATTTTACACGTATTTCTATATTACTTTCCAGATTTTAAATCGAGTTCATTCACTGCATAATTTTTTTCTTATCAACTTTCGTGCGAAAAATTTAAAAAGAAAATTAAAGATATTGTTATGTTTCCCCAGGGTTTTCTGCATATAAAAATTAATATAAAATTTTTTTGATAAAGAAAACTATCTGCACTCATGGGGTAACGAGAATAAATAACTGGACAATGAGTCAGTATATGATATATATAAGCACTACTGAACAGCAAAGATTTGGGTTGAAATAGCTGGTTTATATATGTTAAAACTAGTTAAAGTTGATCATTTTTATAGGTCTATCTGAGACATATGATAGGATAGCATAACACAACCCCTAGATTATGCTATAAAATTTTAATTCTCACTTGTCGCATCTATGTGCTATTTCTTTTTTATGGCTTTTAAGCATTTTCAGCGTTTAGTGTACGGGTTGTAAAGTTGGGAGCTTCTTTGGGCCTGGTAGAGGGGGATTAATTAAGAGGAATGCAATCATAGAGTGAGCCATGCCATAAAAAGCAAATGCAACAAACGCAGCGATAAATACGAGCAATTCTGTGCATTTGTTAGGGTATATAAAGTGCGTTGCAACTGAACACTTGTAGGCATATACATACATGCATCCATGTTGAGCTCCTTTCACGACGTTTATGATTGCGAACGGCCTTTTGTGTGTTGCCTGTTTAGCCTGCTGCCTGCTCGACCTGTTCTAGTTTGAGCGGGAATCATATTTAATGACTGCCAGCCAAGAGAGCTGCCAATGCCTCGACAGGGGGATAGACCAAGGGAGACACTTGGAGGGGAGGCACGTTAATGGCTGCTAGCCAAAAAGAGTTGGCTCTCTTGCTGGCTGTTGCGTCTGCGCTGGCAAAGATAACTGTATTAAATGGCCAATACCAATGGCAATGCCAATGCCAATGCCTAGGACAGCCTCAACGTTGGCTTAGAAAGGTTCTTCACAGCGGCCTGTTACAATTTTTGTTGTTCGTTCTGTTTAAGCCATGGCCAACTAGAAACCCGTTTTTGTCGTCTGCAAAAGCCGTTTGGCCTGGGCCTGGCCCTGGGCTGTGCCTGTCTCATCTGTTGTCTATTTGGCGTGGCAGTGCCACAGCCTCCCATCTGCTTGTTGCTGCCTCCTCCTGTTGCTGGGGGCCTGTTCCCAGTGCAACATTTACTTTGTTGCCGAGATGCTTTCTCTGCAAGCGTGTTGCCAGTCTGCAACTGCAACTGCTGCGACGCTGCTGCTGCTGCAAAAGCGAGCTCGCACTTTGATTTGCTTGCAAATTTGGTTCTAAGCCAACGTAATCGAAATGCAATTAAGAACTCGGTTTTTTGCGCTCTTTTTAATACCCTGTACCGCTTGCACCAAAAGGTGCGAGTTGCACCTGTGTATAGCATCAGATGGAGCTGACAGCATCAACAGGTTAATCGAAATTAAGATACGATTTTGTTCTATTCCATAAATTTAAATTAGTTTTGAGAAACATCTTAGTTTAATGACTGCTACAGCTTATACCAAAACTGAACGAATTACAGAGTGCAGAGTAACTGTTAGTCGGGCACACTCAACCGGAGCACTATTGTTTTACTATTTTGATATGGCTTTTAGAAAGTCCAGTTCTAGTCCAACTTTGGGCGAGTGCCATTTGGAAAGGCGTTGACGTTGGCCGCAGCACTCGTTGCCGTAGATGCTGCTGCTGCTGCGTCTGTTGCCATAATTAAAGGGTTACGGCCATGGCCAAGACATGCCAATCGCTCGAGAGCCCGCCAGTTGTGGCCAGTTCTATAATATATATATATATACATATATATATCTGCTGCCATGTGAATTGTGCTGCTGATATGCATAACGGTGTTTTAATATTAGTTGGCGCAAATAAGTGGGCACGTCTCCTTCTGCTGTTGCAAGCATAACAGCAACAACAACAGCCACTGCCTACATTCCCATATATACAACTATATACTTGGATCTGCAGATAGTTGCCTAGTCATTTGCTTGATATTGTTATGGCATAATATACGTTCAGCGTCTGCTTACATACACACACACAGTGTGCATTACAGTTTGAGTTACACTTGTTGCTGGAAAATCTACAGTTTGGCCAGCAGTGCAATTGGCCAGCAATCAATTGGCTTGCAGTGCACTTCGAAAACGTTTAAACAACTCAAATTGTGGCCGTAAATTGGCATGCTTAAGACTAGTGTCTGGTTTTTCGCCGTGTAGGCTGTGGGAAATTGGCTGAAATAACATGTGATCTAAGACAAACCAAAGTTAAATTAAAACTTTTTTAAATTTTTACAACTTTTTTTACAGTTGCCTAATTTCTTATTGAACATTTCATTCTAGGAAGTTCTCATATTTTCTCTTCCCACTGTTCTTTCAATTCAGTGAAAATTTAATTTTAATTTATTTCTGGAAATTGTTGTCGTTATCCAAACTCAAACAATAAACGAAAGAGAAAAAATATTTTATGTTTTATCGACAACATGAGTAGGCAAAATGAATGCTTAAATGCGGACCCCATTGTTCGACTATGACCATGTCCAGATATTAAAATAAACAATTTTAATGTGTCATTAAAGATTGAATTTTTTTGTTAAGATTTAAAATTAATAATGTACAATATTTCCCAGAAAATTGTTTGAAAATGTCAATATTCATATAAAGTTATATATATATGTATATATATATATGGATAACATTCACTTTAAGAGCATAGTTAAAAGTTAATTTAAAAATCTAGTCAGAAGCAGGGTTTTGGAAGCCATCTCATTTAAAATTTGCATCCAATGCGACTTCAAGTGAGTCCAGCTCGTTAGCAATAAAACTAACATTCCCCACATAGCTCAACTCCAGTAAGAGAGAACTATTTGGGTGTCTGGAGAGGGGCATATAAGCGAATGCCTAACAACTCAATTACTAGAGCCTGATGCGATAGTCTGAACAGTTAGAAGTCAAGCAGCTTAAAATGCAATTAATAGGCCCGAACAGACGCAGGCGCGGACACACACTCACACACACAGCTGGATCTGGCCAACCTGCCTGTTGCCAAGTCAGTAAGCAAATCATTAGCGGCAAAATTTGCGCCCAGTTATAATCCGCAAGACATAGAAACCCAAGTCGCGAGCTCACATTTCACAAAGTTCTCACACAAATTTTAGATGCGAGATTTAAAGATGCTCTGGGATGCTGCGCAACGTGGCATTAAATGTGTACCAATTATGCTCTATGTCTGTGTGTGTGTGTGTGCAAAACTCGTCCAACCAAAGTTTTGGCAAAGATGCTCAAGAATTTAAACTTCAAATTTCGCACAGGCGAACCACAAATTTTCAAAGAGCTAAGCAGAAATTTTAGTGAAACGCTTATTAAGAAAAGGCTGCCCCATAGTTATATGGGGCATTCCACTGTGCGCGCCTGTGTATGTATCTATGTGTGTGTGTAGCTATTCGATAGCGCCAATTTGATATGGGGCCAAGGAGCAAGCACACAAATTAAGTTTCATAGGAAGCGCACAGCAGAATATAATAAGAAATAAAGAGAAAAAAATATACCTGGATAGCATATGCCATCGCTTTCGCACTTGTGTTGTCCCTCTCTAATTTCGGATGTGTTTTCTGTTTTTTTTTCTTTGTTTTGTTTTATGTGAGGATCGTAAAACTCAAGCAGTTAAGGAAAGACAGAAAGAAAGTTCGCTACGCCAATAAAATGATGCCTCATTTAAGGAATGAACAAAGATGTTGAGAGAAATTGAGGAAACACTTAAATTTAAGTTTAGCTTTACAGTTACGCTTAATGAGCAGTGGAAAGTCAGGGAGTTTTGTCTTAATCTTGCGTTCAAAAGATGCAAACTCTTCGGATCATGGTGTTTAAATAGCTTTTCGAAAAGCTTCATATTCCTAACCTGAGTCAAATGCATACATTTATGTATATATATTGTTCAAGCATAGCCATATTGCTTCTTGAGAGAGAACACAAACCGAAATCAATATCCAATCATTAATCGTTAACTAATTCCATGAATTTTGGCAGACGGCCGGCACTCGGCGATCGCCTTTAACTCCAGCTCCAGCTCCAGCCAAGTTCCAAGTTCCGAAAACGCAACCAGACATGCCACACTAAAGACATATATTCATGCCCGCTTGGCGTATTTAGAACGGAGTTCAGGCAAAAAAAAATATAAAAACAACAAAGAATATCAAGATAAAAATATTTTTCGGCTGCCCTTTTTTAAATTTGCGGCAACAGCAGCTGCCCGACTGGGCACAGGACAGTGGCTCCTAAACCATCCTATTTGTTGTTGTTGTTGTTGTTGTTATCGTCGCGTCGTCCGCCCAGCTACCAAGTTGCAGTCTTCTGTGAACCTGAGATCTGTTGGAGTTTTGCGTTTTCAATTCGGTTCCAAGTTTTGGTGTTTTGTTTTCGATTTCGATTTCGTCGACAACGACGACCATGAAACAATTTTATATTTTTGCCCAGAAGATCAATAAAATTTTACCGACCAACTGTATTTGGGCATGCGGCCCCAACAAAATTAGTGGCCAAATTGTCGTGCAGAACGAGTTTTGGGTCACATTTTTGGTTACACGGTACAAAAAAAAAAGCACGCACACAAAAAATATATAATTTGAACTTCAAAAATTCTTTGCTCTTCGCACGGCTAACAGAGTGTTGAAGTTGTGCTTAATTTATGTGAGAGACAGAGAAAGGGGGATCAATCCATAAGCAGTGATCTGGATCGTGTAGGGTGCTCAATAGAGATAAAGATTGATATGCGATAAGAAACATTTGTTTGCTTTATTTTCAAACTCAAAAATTTGACCTTTTTTAATAGTTTAACAAATTTTTAAGTTCTTTAAAATTGTGATAAATCCCTATTCATTAGTTATATTTATTTTACTGTTGACGATTATACTTATTACGTAATTAAAGGCATTTCCCATGAAATAAGAAAAACGCATGGCAACGCCGTGTGGGTTCCTGCTAGGCCGACCGATCCGCAAGAAAGGTGCGCAGCATAATTCTCAGAAAATGCAAGCTCCAAAACAGAAAAAATGTGCCTCGGCTGCTGGGTGTCTGCATGTATGTGCCCGTGTGTGTGGGAGGCAGGGAAGTTGGCAACACTGGCAGCAAAGCAGTCGATGTCTGCGAGCGCTGCAATCAACATTCGCAGGCCGGCACTAATGAATTTGTATGCAAACCGCAGACATTTCATGTTTCATGTTGTATGCCAATGATTTGGCATAAAAACAAAGAACAGTGGAGAGTGGAAAGCAGAAAGAAAAAAACAGTAACGGAAATGCGCGCAACACATAAAAAAAAAAGGATCAGCCGCAACATTTTGTGAAATTAGTGCAGGCGGCCAGAAAGGTGTTTTTTTTCGTCTTTCTTCCAGAAATTAAGTATGCATACATACATATACACGCACAAACAAACATACATATGTACATATTTTGATTTATGCATAAGTAATAAAAATTATAATAATGAAGGCGCTGACATGGGATGCAGAAGACCGACGCAAAGCAAATGTGCAAAAAAACATATACATGTATGTGTGTTACTCTGGTATCACACGTGATGTCGCTCTCTCGCGCTCATGGTCTGCCCTTTTTGCTGCTCTGCTTCTTTGCGTGTCCGTTACTTGGCGCGCGAATTTTGTAAAGCTACATTTTAAATCCTGTGGGGGTGTCTGCATTGAAGCATTGAAAAGGATGAGTCACAATGCGCAAAAATACTTGAGCACAATGAACTACTTTTTGTATCCCCTTTTTTCTCAAACGACAAGGGCAAGCTTGTAAATAAATGAAAAGGCAACTGAAAGTAGCGACAAGCTTTTGCGTCGTTAAGGTTTCGTCAATATGTGTATACCTTTCTCTCTTGCTCTAACGTAGTTGTCGTTTAATTTATTGCGTCATAGCGTGCACTCGCAAGCGCTCTCTGTACATATATATGTGTGTATGACTGTCAAACTGCAAGCTTCAGTTATTTGATGGTCGGACATAAATACGGGATTTGGACTTTGTACAGGCTGTAAAAGTTGAGAGAGCCTCTCTGCTGGTGCTTCTGCGCTGCTGCTGCACCCAAACGCCAAACTGTTAAACATAAAAACTAACGGCAGTTTTATAACTCTAGCATAAGATTACCTTTTGAGTGCATAGACTACGTCTGCCATCTTAGTCCTCACCGCCGAAAAAAATTGCGTTAAGCGCAAAAGAAAACCATTTCGGCGACGAAAATTTTAACGGACGAGTGGGCGCAGGCGCAGGCGGTTTCCAAGATCCCCAAAGATGATACACAAGCAATCAAAAGAAATGCAATGGCTGTTGCGCTGACTCTTTCCTTGTCGTGCTGCTGCACTTGCTGCACCGTTAGGTCCACGTTGTGAAGTTTGGCCTCGGCCTCGGCCTCAGCGCGACTTCAAGATCAGCGGCTGCCGCACCCACCAAAACGGCATCTGCGTAGCATTTCGGCTTTTAAGTTTACAACGGCGACAGCAACAGCACTCGAAATGCTTTTTCTGGTATATTTTCTGCATGTCTCTTTGCAGTTAAAACACACAATTAGTTTTTGTTCGTTACGTTCAGCACTTTGTCTATCGTCTCTACATTGCAAGCAATGGTTTTGCAGTTAACAAATAAAAAACACATAGCACAGAGACACAAGAAGCACCAACAAACTTTACCGAACCAAAACTCTACTACGAGATATCAGTTTAACAACACAGCTCGCGTCGTCTGAGAAGAGTTCTTATTTCACAACCGTCCTCGCTGATGGTGCGCGTGCAATTGATTCCTGCTTCAGCGACAACGTCGCTCGTAAGCGTCAGCCACACAAAACCAAGAAGAAGAACTTCTGTTGTTGCTTTGCCGCTGCCTTGGAGTGAGCAGCACCGACGCGGCCAGCCTGCCAGGCAAAGATGAGAACATAAAGGCAGAGTTGTGCGCCGATATTTGCAGACCCGATTTCGTACGAGCACGTTTAAAGTGTTGTTGAGAAGTGGTGTTTTCCAATCACGAGCTGCGTCGTGTTGCTGCCCGTGAGCATCTCTTTTACATAACGGACGTTTTTATATTTCGCCCTTGCAGCAGCGACAAAAGGCAGCAACGGCAGCAAAGAGGAGCTCATCGATCTTGCGTTAGGGGTTTTTGTTTGTACATGCGCCGACATGCATATGCCCTGCTTGTTGGGTTTCTTAGGTTTGTTATTCTCGTTTTGTATAGAATATTATGGAAGTCCTTAAGGTAACAAAACTACTGTGGGTGCTCTTATATAACAATGGTTTTTATAAAATATAGCTTTTTTTCAAATTTATTTTATTATAATATTTATATATTTTGTTATAATATATAATATAATAATATATAATATAATATGTATATATATATACATATAATAACAAGAAAGTGATAGTAGATGGAAATTTCTAGGTGTGAATATTGAATGCAGGAAATTAAAGGCAAGCTGTATAAATAAATGTAAGTAGATAACATCCTTTAGACAGTCTATTAATATGTTATATTATTTCTAATCGTATTTTGGTTGAAATAACAGTATGTTTATATATACTCTATATGTATATTTTAAGACAATAGTTATTAACGTGTTTGTTCACCCTAAAGAGCTTTTACTGTACAGTTGGATAGTGTACATTTATTATAATAACTCTCAGAGCCATGCCTAATGAACACTTAAGATCTGCCCCTTCTTGGGATGCCTTTAAGGCTTTGTCATTTAGCATATTCAGAAACCAAAACATATATATTATTTTATTTTAGACTTTAAATAAAATATGAAAATAATTAGCTAAAAAATGCACGTAATTAATGTGCCGAGCCCTGCAGCAGCAGCAGCAGCAGCAACAGCAAAGACTCGCAATTTAAGAGTCCCAAAAAACTTGTATATCCAAAATCTTGCAGAGACAACTCCATTAGGGCGGCCCACATTCTCCTGGCAGGTGCAGCGTGTTGCAGCTTGATGTGGCAGTTGGTAAACAAAAAGTAAAAATCATGAGGAAAGTTTTTTTTTTGCATGGGCGCGTGGCTAGAGAGCACAGATCGGAGACCCGCATGTGGCAGGACATTGCTCGATGACGCGTCGCCTGTGCCACTGACTCACAGAGGAGTAGGCAGCAAACAGAGAGGAAGAGGAAGAGTAGCAGCAGCAGCAATTTAGCATAACTGCGCGAATGGCACAGGCATCATTAAACACATTAACAGACACACACTCGCGCGCACACACGCACTCACAGTTGCAGACTTGGCTAAGAGCTGGCAGGTGATGGCCAAGAGGCCGACAAACAGTTGCTGTTGCTGCTTGGAATTGAATGACGGACAAATTGACAAACGGACGAAGCGAATGACGCTTGGCAAAACTGTACTGCGCAGCCGGCGTTCACTTTAATGAGTTTAACCCGTGCCTGCGGCCAAGCTGCTGCTGACTGACCCCCCTGTTACTCTGTTTCCCCGCTCAGCTCCATTCCTGCTGCTAGTTAATTACAAAAGGATGCGCCGCCTGCCAGGATAACAGCTGCCTCGCTCGCAGGCCGCAACACGTAATGCCAATTGATTTGTGCAAAGCTCAGCATTGCCAGCGGCAGCTGTACAACTGGATCCTGTGCAGATCCTTAGCAGATCGCTCAGACACTCAGAGAAATAACTGACAAACAACTGAAGAGCTAGCGCTTTAAAAAATTTATTTTTAAGAATTTTATTGACCTCTTAAGTTTTTATAATTTTTTTTCAGTTGTTTTTGAGATGTACACATCTATATCCTAAGATTGTAGTTGAACGATGCTTTTTAAATGTTAAGAAATTTTTTTCTTAATTGATTGAAAATATAATATAATATATATAATTTTTATGAATAATTCAGTTTTAGTTTCTTAAATATGAAAAGTTTCTTAAACGAGGAAAGTTCAAGTTCTTTTGAGCCTGTGAGAATATTTTATTACAATACTCTTGGTTCTTATTGTGTGTGTGCATTTCTAATGAACCACATTGTCTCGCTCAAAGAAAGCATAACACACACATACGCACACACACATGGTAACACTCGCACACCCAAAGATCTCCTGAAACTAGTTTGCGAGGTCTTTGAAAGAAACCGGTAACATTTATGAACCCAATGCCCAAGGTTTCCCTTGAATCTTGCAAAAAAAAAAAAAAAAAAAAAAAAAAAACAAAAAGGAAGAGAGGAAAAAATTCATTGAAGCGTTGGAAATTATGTTTTGATTTTCCATATGGCATAGCCTCGACAGAATTCCTAACGAACCATGGCAAATTGTCTAATCTGCCAACTGTCTTCACACCTTTGACGCAGCGGCATTTGGATGATGGCTTACGCTTCGGCTCTCAGTTTGCCTTTAGCTCGGGCTGCGTGTCTGGCGTTGGGTCTGGGTCTGAATTACATATTACATTGTCGCTTACAAGCCACCCCATAGCACCCTATAGGCTGCACCCGATACTGCCCTCTAACCCAACAAATGGGCCATTACATGTCGCCTGACGAGCAGTGCAAAAAAGAAGAGGCAAAGTACACACAACCCAAATGCTTAATTAATTGTTTGTAATTTGTTTATGTTTTCGAAGCAATTTATTTCGTACTCCGGGTTCACTCAGCCCCATCATTCAATATGTGAGCTCGAATGTTCTAGTTAGCTGCCTGGATGGGCAAGGGACATGATGAATTGCAGACAAGTCTTTGGTATTTGTCGATCATTGATCCTCGAATATGATATTCTGTGTGTAGCTCCACACACTTCCGGAAAATCACTGATAAATTCTCATTTATGGTCAACCTCAGAGCTGACTTCAAGGCGTGATATTCTGAACTTCAAGGCAGTGATATTTCTTGATCTTAGCTTTAAATTAATATTTCTTTTTATGGTGATGCTCCTTAGAAGTGATCCTCGAAGTATATATGAGTAACAAGAGCTATGTAGCTCCTCAAGGACCACTTATGGTAGGTATACAAAATATTCTAGTAGCTATACATTGCGAACGATCCTCAAAATTTATTTTCATAAGTAATAATTTCTTACTCTTTCATCCTTTCTCTCTAGATCTGCCTCTTCTATTTTCTGGTTTCGTTATTTTCTCATGATACTCAGACTACAAATTTCTCTAGCTTCCCATTAAACTGCTTTGTGATCCTCGATGCGTGCATTTCAAGTGTTATGCTTTTGTTGAGCTTTTTAAACATTCTGCCTGATTATGTGCTTAACCCTTTTTTGTCAAGCGAATCAAGTATTTTACATAACAATAAAATTGTTAATTATTTTGAACGATCTTGCTACATTTAAAGCCTGAAGCACCCCATTTGATTTAACCCGTACATATAAAATTAACATAATAATACAATTTGACTATCATTTTTTAGCGATCTTGCGTCCATTGATATTTTTAATCAGCCCGAACTTCGATCCCTCGTTGATCAATGTGAATATGAGACGATCGCAGGCTGCGCGTAACTCAGCGGGTTGACATCTTATATGTATGTATGTGTGTGTGCATGTCTGCCTGTATGTATAGGCAAACATATATTTAATAAAGTTATAAATTTGATCAAAACATAAACGTGACATTGATCTACAGCCGTTGGGTGAATCACAAACGATCTTGCTGATCTTTTTGTTTCTCACAGTCCGAGAACAGAAGGAAGTATTCTTTCAGTACTTTGAGACAGTTTGCGTAAATTTCGGCGATTTTATAAAAGCAAGAGCTACTTAAAGTGATCGCAGGGCAACTTTATGATCATCAAAAAACAAAAAAAGAGAAGCATATCAAAGCAAATAAAATCAGACAAGAACAACATGTGAACGATTGCAAATTACAAGCGAAGATCCGCACTGAAAGCCCAAACTCTGTGTCTGCTGCTTCGTCTGTATCTGTGTCTGTTCATGTGCCTGGGCGTCTGTCTGCGGGCCTGTTAATATCTGGACCAGGTTACTTGAACTTTATGTCATGCCCTCATGGTAAGTATTCTCATTTTGTGATGTCATGTGACATGTGCTCAATAAGCTAATCAATTGATATAGTCAAGCTCTGACTGTATATATATATATATTATCAACTGTTCTCTTCTAAGCTATATCTAAGCAGCTATCTGGATAAAATTTGGTACAGTTGCCACTGGGCTTGTAAGACCAATGTCGGAATCTGCACAGATGGGCTTACCTTTAAGCTAATCTGATTGCCTTGACAATGGAGTACGCCATACTAGGAAAGCTGTCTTAGAAAGTGTTGTGTTTTACCTACGTAATACTTTGATATCTCTGAAGAGCATTCGGGTTTCTGTATCGTTAAGATAGTTGATCTTGTTTTTGTTTTCAGTTCCTTTTTTTGGGCAGTTGGCTGGCAGCTGCTTCTTTTTGGTTTGTCGTCATTACGAAAAGGAAGCTAAAGACAAACGGATATGCGTTGCACATCAAGCAACTGTTTTTTGTTTTCTGCTCTTTGGGGCTTTTCACTTCTTGGCGTAAAATAAATTGTGCGACAGGTGCGACGATGTCGACAACTGGACCCAAAAGTCCAAAAAGCCAAAAACAAAAAAGTAAGCCCAAATATAAACCGAAAGAGCAACCTTAACCGCAGAATCTGCTGCAAAGCTTTGGCCCTTGCCTTACGTATGTGTGGGAGCGAAGCTTTCGATCCTTTGTCGATCTTCGATCTTACAGCTGCGCATAATTGCCAAGTCTCGACTGCAACTGCGACTGCGACTGCGTTTACAAGACGCAGCTGTTACTTCCGCTTGAATGAGTTTTTAGGGTTTACTTAAGGTATCGGGGCACAATCGTTGCTCTGGCTCTGTCTAAGGCTCTGGCTTACA